GATTGTCGTCATTTTCTAACTAAGGAATATTATAAGCTTTCGTCAATCTTCTATGAAATAGTCTTTACTCTACTTTTTCATTTGCATATAGTAAGTGCCTTACTTAGTGGTAGGCAATCACCACAACCCATGACAGTTCATAATAACCTAGAGAGAAAGTGTTGCCGACTTCTTGCGACGAATATACTCTCATTTGGAAGGTATTTTATTTTCTTTCTTTTTATATACCGAATTTTTTTATCTACCTTTCCATTCTCGGAGAATTGGAGCACAGATCAAATAGAAAAAATGACTAACACTAACGTGTTATTCTTGCATCTAAGCCGAACTAGATGTTAAAGTCTTTTTTTTGGACTCTATTTTTATCTACATTTCTTTATGAAAACCGGCCATGGTAGAAAATCGTTAACGACTACCTTTGAAATATTTTAAGTTATATTTTGCTCTATGATTCTTGCTTTCGTGTCATCGAGCGTTGTGTAACCTTGATATTCTCGTGTGACGCCCCCAGATGCGTAAGATGTTCCATAGTAAGTTTTTATACATAAATACTTGGACTAGCATTTCTCGCTGAATACTTGTGACCTCATTTCTAAATAGCTTACGAATGTTTGCAATTTTAAAAGGCTACAGTTTACAATTGTATGTTCTTGAAAACACCAGACTGATTCTCATACTTATTGATTACGGTCGATCAGTAACATTAAGGTTTTAATTTAGGCATTTATTTTATGATATTATTTTTTTAAATATTCTTGGTTAATGGTTGCGTTCGATGTTCCGCTTGTGTACATGATTATTAATTAAAAGCACACTCTTCAGATAATATAAAAACCGGCCAACTTCGGGTCGGACACGCGCATTAAGGATTTCGTATTTTTATCTACCTATATCAACGGCATAAAAATCATGTCTCATCCCTTGGGAGCACCACAAAATTATTTTTTTTTATTTTATTTTTTAGTATTTGTTGTTATAGCGGTAACATAAACACATCATCTGTGAAAATTTCAACAGCCTAAATATCACGGTTCATGAGATACAGCCTACATGCCTAGTGACAGACGGACAGGCAGACAGCGGAGTCTTAGTAATAGGGTCCCGTTTTACCCCTTGGGTACGAAACCCTAAAATGAATAGAATTGAAATAGTGTTCCTACTTCAACTCTATTCCATTACATACAACATATATTAATTATGTTATGACCAGTTCCTCGGTTTAGTGAACCTAGTCTTTTAATAGCCGCTATGACGCAAATAAATTTTATCCATCATCAACATTTTTTGTCTTACACACCGTCCTATACTTGCGAAGCCCTATAATCGCAGTACTACTTACTACTCGCAACAGTTGCTATGTGATTATCATGCGATACGTTGGCAGACATTAGCTGCCAATTCGATACTCGCACTCTATAGCGACTTTCACTTTTCTATTGCAACTTACGAGGCACTTAGGAAAGAAACAATTTGGACATCGCCTCCATTCAGATAACGGTGGTTTAGGGTTTCGCAGTTACGGCCGCTGTATTATTAGAATCATGAGCATTAAAAATTTTATGCGTTTAAATATAACGAACCTTCATATATTTTTATATGTATAACCTTCTTCTAAACATTGCTTACAGAGGGGCTATTTTCTTGTAATCGAAATACATAACTTGAGGTAATGATATGTACATATGTATAAATACAACAATCTAAACAAATTTAAACAAGCAAATTCCATGAATAACCTGTTGACATTGAAATTATTGAAGATAATTTTCAAAATTGCACATTCGGTCCGAATGTATCCCAGAGTCCAATAGAATAAAAAAAATAGAATTAATTCTCAATGTCGAATCTAAGATGGCAATGGTACGCGCTAGCTGTGGAAATCTACTGAACCTGTCTTCCATTAGTAACATCGCGTTTGCGCAACTTGTTCGGGCATGGACTCTTGGCAAAACAAAAATAAAGTGTATACAGTATCATTTATTACTCAATTGTTTTGGCAGTTGTGTCTACCCTTGGAGTTTTTATTTCGCCTATTTAGATACAATAAAATTTGTTGCAACGTAAAGTTTTGAAGAAAAATTTTTTGCTGTTGCGGGAATCGAATATGTTGTTCTAAAAATCTATAGACTCAGGCATTTCCAATAAAGAGTATTCTGTAGGTATGGTGTGATTATCATTTCAGCCTGTTTGAGTCCACTGTTGAACATACTCCTCCTCCACAAATTGCCACGAAGCACGATCTAGTGCCAGCATAATTCAAATGCCTTTATTATTATTTTTTCAAACTTAGAAAAATATCATTTTAAAGTTGATATACAACATTTAACCTTTTATTTCTTGTACCATGACTAACACTCTCGTATATAAACTGTTTAAGGGTAATAATTATGGAGCCGACAATTTACCTCACCAATTTTATCTTATCTACAGAATGTAAAAATTTTTATACTTTGTTATTGGGCCCTTGTCCAAATTGAAAATATAACATTAAAATACTCCAATCTTTCTTTGGAATTGTGTATTGTCTTCTGATAATTTGTTTAATAACAATAAAAATGATTGACTAACGCAATAACAATAAAAACTGAAGATGAATGAAAAATAATCTTCGAACTACTATGCAATACAAATTAAATGACTTCGCTTTCTAGGCTTTTAATTATTTTAAATATCTCGTTTTACTAGATAAATTTTTATAAAAAATTCTATTTTGTATTACAAAGTATAGTCCATCGGTGTTATAGGTGTTCTTGATATTTGTAACAAATTGTTATGAATATCAAGTTTGGAACCTTTTTGAAATTAAACTTAAATACATTTTAGAACAGGCATAAACATGAGTGAGATATCGCGGTCAATCGAGGATCGAGGTCGTTGACATTCCTATGCTTATTTGAAACGCATTATAAACTGCTATTGCTTTACCAAAGGCTAAATGAAAGCTATTCTTAATTTAATTAATGAAATTCAATGTTTAATTTGAACAATAAAATTATGAATACAATAGCAGTATCTTCATTCCAGCAGCTACAACGAATTTAAGTTGCTAGGCCTACATAGGCCGACATCACGCAGAGAATGTAGGTGTTGAACCCTGAAACGTTTGTTTTAGTCGACAACAGACCAAAATCTCATCTCATCATTTTACGGACAAATAAGAAAATTATTTGTCTTACTAACGATTGTTTTAATAACAATATACATTATTAATATTTGTGACGGCTAATATTTGTACAGTACAGTTTTAGTACAGTAAAGCTAAGCGTTCTAAATTGAAATAGGCCTTTTCGTGTGTGAAATCTCGTAATATTAATATTCAGAACGCTAAAAAAATCTTGATGTAATTAATAACGTAGGCATCAGCTTAGTCGGAAGTTGACAAATTTGTATTTGTGTATCTATATTATTTTTCACATTATATTCAGAAAATAATAGAAAAAAACGTTAACGTGGCTAGATGTGAATTTTATAATGGGGGACTAAAGAGTCATAAAACAAGATTTTATGTACAATTGTTACTTTAATCATATTTTGTTTTGTTGCCAATTTTTGAAGTACCCTTTTATTACTACCTTTTAGACTTAATTAAAACGAGTGCTAAACAAGGAATATCTTATGTAAGAAATGATAAGACTAGGATAAAACTTGAAAAAGGAGGACGTGTTCACCTATTTGATATCATCTGAAACCCCTAGTAATAATAGATCACATTGCTTCGTATATTAAGCATGAAAAAAGAACGAAAGAATGTTGTTAATATTACTTATAATATCGCAATACGTTCCTTGTATTTAGAACTATAATTTAAAATCTACTTTCAGCATTTATATTAGCATTCTCAATCTCTATTGCGGCATAGCGCAGTAATTTTCGTGTTGTTCAACGGCTAGAAAAGCTACCTCCCTAGAAAATAAGTAGAAATTCGTGTTAACGATAAGCAGATATACGTTACGAACAATGCAATTATAAGTTAACCCTAATATATTTAAAATTATTCCCTATACTGTCTAAAAATCAAGGGCCAGGGAAAACAAAAGAAACGTGAGTAACCATAAAATTCGAATCAATTCGTTATTCCTTGTGATTGACCTACTTAATTTCGAATGTTTCGTTGAATTTGAATATAATCTGTCTTGCTTGCTAGAGGTCATCGTATCCAATGCATAATAAACAAAGATCAATCACGTATCTATCTTTAACTATCATTATACTAATAGAGAATAGAGATATATAGTACCGATGGCGATAACACGTTTCCACAAATAATAATGCTTGTAATTGTATTACGCAATCACAGATTTCTTGTGACACTACAATTAAAGTGTTATCTTGTGAAAATATAAAGTTGTAGACACCAATAGCGGCTACAGTTGATTGTACATATACTTTTACCAATTAGAAAACACTTTACCGTTAAAAATATCTTTTTTTATCATAACATCTTTTCACATCGATAATTTTCATGATATATGAATGATTTTTTCAGATTTGATGAGACAAGAAAAATAATTAATGTATTAATTAACTATTAATATTATGGTACAACTGTGTAGCAAGTGATGTGGAACAGAGTGGCCCTAGATAGATTAGAATGGAAGAGGTTGGAGGAGGCCTTGCCGATTGGCAAACAGATCTGCAAAATATAAAAAAAGCAGCGGATAATAGAATAAGTTTTAAATTTTTGCTTTTAGTTTAAAATTTGTTTTAAAATATTGTTATGAGCTTAAGATGATCTGAATAAAATGCTATTAATTATTTACCTGACTAGCGTCGTTCAAACAGCGGCAATGTGTAATATTTACACGCCTATATATAATATTTATACGCCTTGATTACCTCACATACTATCTCTTCCCGTTTGTCATGATACTTGCTCCAACAATAATGCTAATTTGCGCTGAAGCGAAAGCACCTTCCTGGTACTAAGTTTATTGGTAACACACGTGCTGTCCATTAAATTAGTATTTTAATGACCGCGTATTATATTTTATTACTTGCAGGTTCATATCAGCCCAGCAATGAACTGATGTTGAGGTTCTATAGTTACTACAAGCAGGCTACAGAAGGACCATGCGACAAACCGAAGCCAGGCTTCTGGGACGTAGTCAACAGGTTTGTGTATTGTCCGTTTAAGAATCTACGTTTTTGCCTACGAAAGTGTCCAAAATTCGTGTTTCGTTATATTTCTTACGCATTTGTTTTATTATTTTGATGAATCAGCACATATCTGAGTTATTCGACGCACGTATGATTAGAAACGTTCTCAACTTTATAAATCTTTCGGAAAGTGAAAAAAAAGAATAGTTGAGATAAGGATACAGGCGGTATTATATCATCTTTATAAATACCAATACAGCTTAATTTATCGTCTGTTCAGGACATAATATTGACACACTCGAACAAGTACATTTATTAACACAAAGCAAAACTGACTTTAGTATACATTTTGTATTTGATTTTGAGGAGTTCCCTGAACCTTCAAGGTCCAATGCCACTGAAATTAATATGGGATTACTTGGCGGCTAAACCAAATCCAATACAAAAATTTATTTCTAAAATAATAAACGACGGGAGTTTTGAGGTAACAAACATAAAAAAAAATCGCACAACCGAATTGAGAACCCTTACATTTTTTTGAAATCAATTTAAAAGTGCACTAATTATTAATATTTTATTTTATGTCAAGGTTGTCACGCAAGCATGCAGCATCTGATGTTGCGTGATTACCGCCGCCCATGGACATCTCCAGCACCCGATGGGTTTGAGATGCGTTGACAACCTTTAAAGAAGTGAGCCCCGATTACCTCACTCAGACCAAACGCGAAAGTTTAATACTTCCACTTCACGCCGGTCTTGTTTGGGGGCATGGTGCGTCCCCGCAGCCGCCTGCTCATTCTTGCAACAATAGAAGCTGTTGCCTAGCCCTGCCACAGTCAAAATATTTTTTTATAGTGTACAAATTGTGGTGAATTTTATCTTGACGTGTCTCGTTAAAGCCTCCAATGGTATGCCTATATTTCTAAAGGTATCTTTAGGTAAACACATGAATAAGTATGCCCCTCTCAAATATTTAAAAACGTTGCCATTTAGCCACACTTGCGATAGTGTTTTAGGTTGATGCAAAGAGTTTATATCGTATTGGTTTTTGTACTTTTCAGGGCAAAATGGGAATCGTGGAACAAATTAGGCAATATGACAAAAGACGAGGCGATGCAGGCGTATGTGGATGAATTACATAAGGTACGAAACAAATTGTCAATTTAAAACGAAAATGTGAAAACTATTAAGGTTAATTTAGAGGTTGTTAGATATATATAGATACGTTGTAGAAATATTGATTGTCTTGAATATTTTCGGTGTTAAAGGCTTAAAGGCTCCAATTCTTATTTTCAAAAAGTGCCACTTAAGCTACTTCATTGTATTTGCTTAGAGCATGAATTCTCTTGTACAGGAAATTTAAAAACTTTTGAATTAATTTAACACCTTGAAAGTTGTACTACACTTTCCCGGTGAGACTTTTTTTCTAATGGAAAGTATTATACTACTGTAAGTACTATACTATATGTATACATGAAGCCCCTGAATTTTATAATTAAAACAATCTGGCTATATTTTATACTTCTAAGATTTCTTTTTTGTCCTTTTTTTGATGTAGCTTCAGCACGAGTAACAAATAACAATTTTAACTGCGATTTAAACTTCTTAAATCGCGTTCTCATATGAATATTTCCCCTACATCCAGATCGTGGAGACGATGTCCTACAACTCCGATGTGGCCTCGTTCCTATCGGTGGACGATGACGACCAAGGTTTCCCCAGCAACGACCTGGAGCTGGTCGCGGGAGATGTGCTTGCCCGCGTGCGTTCCGAACACAACACGCCCGTTTGTGAGTTTTGTGGTCTTCTCTTCTAATTTTGAAGATTTACAGCCCCACCACAGTTTAATGGGAAAGTATCACAGCCCAATAGAAGATTGGCGTGAAGTATGAAAGTATTTTGCTATTAGTCTAGCGAGTTTTGTTGTCGGTACACACTCTCAGTGGTTGGCAACAGGTTTGCAATATTCCTGGTGTGACTTTACTTTGAGCTCTCTTTACTTAGGTGGACCGATTGTTCAGTCAACATCTTTAACATATCTTCTATGTAAAGAAAATGATAAAGGTCTGCAGTTGTGCGCACAACATGGAAAATTTGTTGGCTAAAATATTTATTTTTGATATCTTCATTTAATGTAGGTACCTAGTTATTACATATACAAATCTTTAAGAAATAACGATTTTATAAGCACTATATGTGTTTGTTGCCGTGGAGAAGTGGGGCAAGCAGTTTTTTTGTTGTTTCCCCATGTATATGAAATACATTTTTTATATAAAAACTAAGGCATACGGAGTCGCGGATATAAGCTAGTAATAAATAAAAGAAAAAGGTGGTAATCGAAGATAGGTTCACCCGAATGCGATTAGGGTAAAAAATCGGGGAAGAACCAACAGGCTTCTGCTTTATTACGTTTACTACCACCTGCATCACCACTTAACCAACATCTAGATCCCACCTGATAGATTGGCTTTGTTTGCGACGGCGCGTTCACGGCTAAAGAACCCGATGGTAAGCCATCACCTTTCCTCATAGGCATCCGCGACAGCAGGGTTGCTTGCAGGTATATTACCAACCTAAGGAAGTTGGCCTTCTAGATAATCTATCTTGTATCTTGTATTAACTGATGTTTTTGCTTTTAGTCCCGAGACTATTAAAGCTTCATCTGACGCAGAACCGGTGGGCTAGCCAGAACCCACGGGTTTGGGCCCTCCGCTGTGGGTAGGGCCACGCATGTGTTCATGCATGCGTTTAACTACGACATGTCATCTAAGGGCCATCGAAGTTGCGGTGCGGACCGAGACCCCGATGGCCGTCGACTGTGTTTTTAGCTAATCGGTGGTTGGGGGCGGTGAGAACCGCCCTAGAACGCGGGTGTACCTTGTGTACGCGTTGTGTTGGTCTCGCCGTGCTCGGAGGCGAGGGCGAACTATTGTGTTTGTTGTTACACTAGCTGTGGGTGTAGTGTTATCCGGTGGGTAGATAATCTAACTCGAGTTAGCCGTTCAGCTTAGTGGTTATACGTCTGGCCGCGAATCCAGAACTTTTCGTCCTTTTCCCGGGGTCGTGGAAGATTGCGTCCTCGTGACGCAAAAGAGATAGATGGGGAAAAAAAAATCTAACTCGTAAAACCTCATCGAACATTTAGTCTCAAGTGTATGTGTAGTGCTTTCAACTTCGCATATATTAATATACTTCTAAAGGTGGGTTCACATGCTGTGTTGACACAACTTAAGGGCAGGTGAAATAGAGGAGTGATTTATTTTCTCGCATTCACGTAAGGTTCCCGTTCGGCGAGCGGCGCGTCGTCGCCGATCCGCAGTGCCTCGCCGCCACGGACACGACACGACTCCGATGACGAGTTCATCGACACAGTTGACGTGAGTACTAAATTACCCTGGAATATCATCATTTTTATCATTTCAGCCTGTTTGGGTCCACTGCTGAACATAGACTGCAACTGTAGACTGCCACGAGTATTTGCACAGGTCGTCTGTCTCTTCATCTAGTGGGGAGTCGTCCTAGAGAATGTGTCTTCCCCATCAGTAATAGCTTCTTTGAGCTATATGGTCGGTCCATTGCTACTTCAGCTAATTAACAGCTCTAAACAGTGTCCTTTACCTTTGTTCTACTGACTGGGAATAAATTTAGTTTTATAACAGTTTGGAGGTTATGCTTTATAATTGCTTTAAAATTCTGTTTCATTCCGTGGTTACTAATTTAGAAAAGAAAACCACTCGACGTTTTCACATTTCCGAATAAAGTTGATGATCTCTTGAGCTCTGATCCAAAATCGCCTTGCTCGGTTATTCCTGCTTCGCCATCGAACGACAAGGTCCTATGGTTAGAACCCGTTTTATCGCTTGAAACGTTCGCAGAGCGATCCCGATGTGCCGCAGCATTCGCAGCCGAGCGCACAGCGGCTGAGCAACGGACACGCCCATCAGATCACATCGCAGCTGACGCGTGAGTCTCTGTTATTCACATATCTTCAAATTCAAACATCTCTATTCAATATAAGGCAATACACCTACTTATGGATTGACACAATACTAATACCGGTTCGGAATACAAAATCCACCGACAGAGACAGAGAAATGGCGAAACAAAATCCACAGTTTAAATTTCGTTTTATCTGATGCTAAATGATGACCGCCATCCATGGATGCAGGGTTGCAAATGCGTTGTCACCTTTTAATAGAGTGGGCCTCGATGAAGTGTAACACTCTTACTTTACGCCGGTCTTCTGTAAGGTCGTGGTACTTACCCGGACGGACCTGCCCATTCGTGCAACAGCGAAGACTGTTGCGTGGCCCTACCACTTGGGAGCTGAACACATTTCAACTTTTTCCTGAATAACATAAAGCGTCTATCGTAGTAAGCGGTAGTAGCTTTCCATAAGAAAAAATATAAAAAAAAACATTGTGACGCAGATCTGAAGGTGCTGGAACAGTTGCCAGGGGCGTTGGCGCGGCTGGAGGCGGACGTGGCCGCCTTGAGGAAGGCCGTAGAGGGCGACCGCCGCCTGCTGGACGTGAGCGCAGCGCCACCTATTTTTCCACACCGGCATTGCCCATTTAGCTTACATGAACATAGAGAGAAATATAGAATCTATAGATGATGGCTCCGTGGTGCAGTTGCCAAGGATGGCTTCGGCGTCGGGGTCGTGGGTTCGATTCCCACACGGGATTACTATTTGTGCGACCCACAGATGGTTGTTTCGGATCTGTGCATGTGAAATTTATTTTTGTAAAAGGTCTTCATTATTAGTTTTTCTAGAAGTAGCATTAAATTTGCAAGATTTTCTCTTTAACGAAGCAAACCTAATTTGCTAATTATTATTTTTGAACTTTGCTGCACTTTTATTATTCTAACTATTATTTCTGATCCTCACATCACTTTTATTTAAAATTTCCAATAATTATTTTGGCACTTGCACTTTTATTCAAAACTTCTAACTATTATTTCAGAACACGCAACAAAAAAAAAACAAAATACTATTGTTTCTGAACTACGGAGCACTTTTATTTAAAATACATTTTATACTAATCTCCTACCGTCAGCGTCACCTAATAGTGGCCATTTGACATGGGAAGTAGCATCAAGGTCCAGCTTTGTCTCTATCCTTGTATTACGCTCCCCCGCAGCAGGTGTCCCGGTATCAAGGCTTGGCTTTCTTTATCATTACTGAATGAAAACTAATCGACGGATTTTATCGCGTTTCAATTTTCATTCTACGTTTCGAACCCTTACCAGCGTTCATGGTCATTTTTTTTGGGCTGGATGAGCCACTTTTGGCCTTAGAGGCCTTTACAGCCGGAGTTGAGGTGGCAGGGCACTCGGGCGCCTAGTCTGAACCTCGGCGTATTATTACGCGGTATAGTGACTAACCTCGGATGACGTCATGCTATTATTAATTTCACCGGTTTGGGAGGTCGCCAAGCTCTTAGGGCGCTTTGGTGGACGCTCCATGGAGTGACTAGGCTCAAGGGTCCCCGAGAGGACCGGGCTTCGGCTCGATCGGTAGCTATTATCTGACTGGGAATGCATGGTCATTGGGCAGACTTGTTTATTTTTTTTATGTGAAAAGTTGCCAAGCGAGCAGACAGTTCACCTGATGTTAAGTGAATACCGCCGCCCATGGACATCTGCTACACCCGAGGCTTGCAGACGCGTTGGCAACCTTTTGAAAATTGGGCTCCGGCCACCCCGCTCACCAGACGAAACGCGAAAGTATTATACTTCCACTTGACGCCGGTCTTCTGTGGGGTCGTGGTACTTACCCGGGCGAGCTTGCCCGTTCGTGCAACAGCCGAGGCCGCGTGGCCCCACCGTAACTTTATCCTGGTACTACGCTGGCCCGCAGCAGGTGTCCCGGTGCGGCGCTGGCTGGCGGTGGCCGTGGCAGGAGCTGAGCCCGCCCACGCTGCTGCTGCTCGCCGTGTGGCCCTTCGTCGCTTACCGGCTGGCCGCAGCTGTGCAGCGCAGGCGCACGTAACACGTGAACACACATATTCCTCTCGATCCATTTATATGCTAGCGGAGCCGACGGACGTTGTCACCTATACGCGACTTGAATCCGACAACTCCTTGGAAAAAAACAATTGTAGTGGACGTAACCCTTACTTGCTTACCAATATTTATGTAAAGTTTGTATTTATGTATGTATGTTTGTTACTTTTTTCACACAAACTGAATGGATTCTAATGAAACTTTACAATAATATAGCTTATACATAGAAATAAGACATAGGTTATGATTTATATACATATTTTTATGTATATCTGTCGTTCTGTCTGAATGTTACGCCTTCAGCCTATTCTACGCAGACGTAGTCGCGGGCAGCAGCTATTTGTTTATATAAAACATTCTCGAATCGACCTGAAGACGTCACAAAAAATTTAATTGAAGTCGGTCCACCCGTTAAGGAGTTCAGTGACATACACATGTACAAAGTCTATTGTTTCGTTAGGCTGTGCTACTGCACAGGTACGTCGTTCGTATCTTAACTATAACTACATTACGGAAATGGATCGGTTATCGAACTACGGTAATTAATTTGAATATCGATGAAAATCTTTCTTTTTAATGACTAAAAACTAAAAGCTCCACAATCAGCCCACAGTAAATTGGAAGGGCCTAGGTAACGTTTACGCAAACATCTGTGGTAGGACCAAAAAACAGTGTTCGCAGTTGCACGAATGGGCAGGTCCGTCCGGGTCGCGGGAGATTGCGTTCACGTGTTCCCGTGTCCCCGGCTGATGCGACAGAGATAGTTGCAACGTGGTATTTTTAATGGGCACCCGTTTCACACCGGGACTGCACACATACCCCTGCCACTTCCTCCATCCAGTGGTAGGGGATCCATAAAGGATTTTTCCCACGGAAAAAAAAAAAAGAAAAAAAGAGGTCCGTCCGGGTGAAGTGGAAGTATTATACTTCTGCATTACATCTTTATAATGGCCCTCGTCAATGCAGAAAGTTGGGGCAAATATCCCTTTATGGCCAACCGCTCCCCTGGGAGAAAAAGGTCAAATACTTAGGAGTCACTTTTGACTCGCGTATGTCATTTACTACGCACATTAATAACGTTCGCAATAGAGCCGCGTTCGTCTCCGGCCGGCTACACAATTTAACTAACGCTAAAAGTAAAATGCCCTTAAGGCACAAATTATTATTATATAAGACCTGCGTACGACCTATTATGTCTTACGCCTGCATGACCTTCGCCCACACGCACCCTACTCGCTTGTACGCCGCACCCACCGCCGGGGGTCCCGCCGGACAACACTACACCCACAGTTAGTGCAACAACAAACACACTAGTTCGCCCTCGCCTCCGAGCACGGCGAGACCAACACAACGCGTACACAAGGTACACCCGCGTTCCGGGGCGGTTCTCACCGCCCGCAGCCACCGATTAGCTAATTGCACAGTCGACGGCCATCGGGGTTTCGGTCCGAACCACGACCTCGATGGCCCTTAGATGACACACCATAGTTAAACGCACGCATGAGCACATGCGTGGCCCTACCCACAGCGGAGGGCCCAAACCCGTGGGTTCTGGCTAGCCCACCGGTTCTGCGTCCGATGAAGCTTTAATAGTCTCGGGACTGAAAGCAAAAACATCAGTTAATACAAGATACAAGAAGACTTCTGCGTTTCGTCTGGTGAGTGAGTTAGCCTTGTTTCATTTTATTATAAAGTGTTTGTAAATTTCAATGGGTGGCGGTTATCACTTAACATCAGATGAAACGCCAGCTCGCTTGCTACCTTCTCACATAAAAGAAAAAATCTTACATTTTCCTAGAGAAACTCCCCAACCATTTTTGGATGTAAGGCGAGCTGTAACACGAAACGCGCTTTCCTACTCGGCTCTAGTCTGTGGCAACGGTGCTCATCACGTTTCGCCCGTGGAAGATAAGGAGTGTGCTGATAAGCTATATCAAGACTCCTCTTCTCCCTCGACTCTATTTCGCAGAGGAGAGGGAACGTGGCTTCTCTCCCACTTTAAATCTTTACCTAACATCCCCCCGTTTTGTATCCAAAGTGAGCTCAAATAGGCCTCTTGGGACGGGCTGGTCTAAGACAGCAGGTCGGCCCAGTGGGGCTTCCCATTGGCTTGGCTTAAGCCACGGTTAGTAACCCTAAGTTTACTTCAGTAACATAATATACCATGTTATTGAACTAAATCCTTGCGGTATTTATAATTATTTTAATGTGAACGCTTATTTAAGGCCGTTATTTTTTTTTTGTTAAGTGTATTCTTTGTTCTTTACAGGTAACATGATGTGCAGGGGATGAAATAGGTGTTATTGGTACCTGCACCGTGGATTCGCTTTGTCCAGGGGATGCGTGTTGGGTTTTCGGCGACTGGCAACCTTTATTATAACTTGCTACGTGTGTTGCCCATATTATACTTATATTTAGGGGTCACTGTCCTTTATTATCGTTAATCGTGTATTATATGAAGCAGGGGCTGCCAATCTTTTTCTACATAATATTTACTATCTTAGTCAAAATGGGGATGAAGGTGTGAAATATGTATTATGTTTAGGGTCGTAGACAACTGTCTCTCCATTTATCAGGGAGTCTAAATGGGTTTCTATGTTCAAACATCACTAGCTATCGACCGAAATTATGTTTAGGATCGACTTAATATTCACTCCTGATGTTAGAGCTCTGAACAAAGACATCGAAATGCTCAAATTGTAATTGCAAAATGCCATTCGCGTAATATAAAAAATGCTGCCTGGGTGAAATATTTGACTGATGTAAATGTATTTCTTTCAAGTAGAATGCACTAATTTAAGTAAAAATATGCATTACCGAAGATGACTGTGTATCATAAGACATGCTGTCGTTTGTCTTTTGCAAATCGGTACATTGAGAAATTATTTGAAACTTGTTAATGGCAAGCCAATAATTCGTAATCGATGTCCACTAAATAGGTTTTACAAACTTTGCTTTCACCTTGGCCGGTTTATTTGCTACGACATGTACCTATATTTTAAATTATACAGCGTACCCAAATGCGACATATATTACAACTTCACATCATGCCATATCAATTTGAACTTCTTGTTTCTTTTTTAAACGTGAAAATTGAAAAAAATTCATTTCAGTTATGAGCGGTATAAAATTCAATGTTATTAGTTCCAATTATGACGAGAAGTATAATTTTTAAAATGCAAACTTATTTGTGTTGTCTTGTAATTCTATTGTGTATTAGGCAAGTTTATGCTTTTATTTTCTTAAATAAAATTTTAAAATATACATATTACCACAGCATGACAATTATAGAAGCTTGTATGGAAATAAGTTGGACTGACCAAAAAAGGGCATATCACCTTGTTCTGTTAATGCATTTTGTGTGTTTGGTATAATGGGTCTTTGGGGTCTTTTTTGTGTTAATGAATTAAGGTGATCAATATTCCTATGTACTGTAAATTAACGAGGTAATAATTTTATTTTATCATGTACATTACTATAATGAATTAAGTTGTCTAATTAATAAACAAAAATTATGATTTCGATTCCTAAAGGTTATCAAAACAAGTGACATTCCTGAATATTTAAAGAAATGAAAAACAAAAATGTGTATTCTATTAATAAAACTACACGTGAGTTTTTTTGGGATTGATTTATGAAATTAATTTGAATATAGATTTTGCTTTTAATTTGTTTTAGGAATCCCTATTGTACCGTTGCTTGGTTTCGGGTCATATTTATAAATGGATATAAATAATCTCATAAATTGTAAAATAAAAATTTCCCCTTTAGTATAAAAACATTTATAATTTTTATAACTTTGGAAAATGCATGAAGGATGCTGACTTCTTAGTGCCCCGAGAAATGAGCGCATTTTCACTGGTCGGTTTCAATAGCTTGGTATGTATGGCATATACTTTACGTTTTGCGAAATCTCTCTCCTTTCGAATGCTTTACATGTCGACTAGTGAAATGATACCCCAAATCGTTTATATTCACCTTATGGCAAACGTTACGTGATTTCTATCGACCAATTAAAATTCGACTAAGGATCGATATATTTAATATTGTGAGGATTCTTGCATATACAGCGTGTCTTTACCATCGCGACGATAAATGAACACATATAGAGGATAACTTTTTAAAATTGTATTAAAACATTTACTTTCTTTAAACATCAATATTTACAGTTATAAAATTTTCCAAAACAAAGAATTTTAGAACACCCTTACGTATAAAACTGTAACGTAAAGTTCATTTGTAAAGGTCACCAAGCATATGAATGGGTTGAATGAATTTAAAAGAAACAAATCATACTGTTAGAAGGAGAGACTTGTAATGCGACGCTGTGGCAACGAACGAAAAAGTCTCTGAATGTATGAATCAGTCAGTTGTAGTTGTATAGGATGTTACAAATTTTGTTTCTTTTTTACGTAATTAGTTTGTTTGAAAAATATTTTTTTAATTATGGGTTTTTTTAACGTTAATATTTTTTTATGATTATTGGCAAGTAGCGTTAGACGTGTTTATTGTCGCGATGGTAACGACACGCTGTATATTATGGAAAATTTGCAACAAGCTATATCGGTAGGCAATGGTGCATATAAACATATGCAATTTATAAATTGTACATTACTTTATAAATGACGCGTAAGTAGCAAAATATCCTAGCTACATTCTATAATAATTTGTAATACGATCCATTTATTATAGCACTTACGAAGCAGTTCCTGTTTGATTGAAATAGAATATATTTGAAGAATTTAATATTGTTACCTGTTTTTTTTTATGATTACAAGTCTAGGTTTCAAATTATATTTTGTGTATATTTAAGTTTTATTTTGGTTATGTGCGTAATTTTATGTGATATTTAGGTAATAAAGATATGTAGCTATTTTTAAAATGTTTCTTCTTTTATTTAATCTGCTTCGTTATATTTGAATCCCCATAATTGATATGAAATCATTTTAAAAATCAAAAATTTGTCTCACTACCTTTATCGGCAGTGGAGGTCAGCGAAATCCGCTTTGTGAGGCTCAATTTTTAAACTTATTAACTAATAGCGCTTAAGACATTGAATGTAAAAATTAAGTTTTTCAAAGGTCTTTTAAAAAAATGATATACCTACATTTTAAATCAGCAAAGAAAATAAATCAGATCAATTTGAAATTTGGACTTACATTAAAAGCCGCCACAAAAAAAGGCGATATATTTTTCGTTATACTTTAATTCAACGTTTTAAATGTTTTGTTAGTACACAAAAGCTAGATAAAATAACATCGTATAAGTCATGTAAATTGAATAGTAGCTTTTAATAAAAATCGTAACCAAAATTAATATAACCACTAATAAAGTTCTCAATAAATAAAATTCTCAGTAATGTATTTTAATCGTCTAAAGGATATTTCTGACAATAGAACATTTTCAACTTAGTTTAATTAACAATTTCGTGCATTAAAAAAACAGATTGCTGTACTGATGTCATTTCAGTATCATGCGTGTTATATATAGTAGAATCATCTCGATGTGCTTTTATACTTTTTTCAACTTTTTGATAACTACTCATCATCTTTATTGTAGTAGACCAGGGTCTATAATTTTTGTCACCAAAAAAAAATAACAGTAGGATGAAACCCATTGGAAAAGGAGGGGAATATTATAAAAATTAAAGGAAAAACTTTTAGGGTAAACACGGTTTATCTCGATTTCCGGCAAAACAACAAGGCCTATGAAAAAATATTAAATGGCAAAGTTGTAGGTAATAAAAAGATCTACAACTTTTGTATTTACATTTTTTTCACATAAACTCAAAATTTATGCGAAAAATTCAAATAACCAACTTTTTGGTTTTTTATTCTTATCTTTTACACAAAATGTTTTTTCCCCCCACGAAATTTGGTGAAAACTTTGCTTTTTATGTCCCAAATTCACTGTAATTTATTTGATATCAATTTTTTATTTTTTACCATATTTTGACTCAATATCGAAAAAGCACCCTAATTTTTAATCGAAAATTCTTGCGTCAAAATTTTTTTTTTTTTAAAAAGTCGGTGGGCTTTTTGTTCGTTGAAATCTAAACTTTCAGGTGTAAAAAAATATATTGAAAATCCATTTTTGTAAAAGATAAAATAAAAGAAAATAAAAACGATTAAAAGAACACAAAGAACAACAAGAAGAAAGAAAAGATGAAAACCAAAACTTGTTTATTACAAATTTTCACATAAATTTAGAGTTTATGCGAAAAAAGTGTAAAAACAAAGGTTGCAAGATCTTTAATACCTACAACTTTCCCCTTAACTTTTTCCATAGGCCTAGTAGTTTTGCCGGAAATCGCGATAAACCGTGTTTACCCTTAAAAACTCATACCCCCCCCCCCCTACCGACCTCAGATCGCCCGTAGTTTATTTTTCCTTGCATTTTTATCTCCTTCATCCTACTGTTATTTTTTTCACTTTTCACCATTTTTAAAGGCTTCAGCCCTGGTCTATAGGTACTAGACGCCTGTGTATTATTTGAAATTTGAATACAGTGCTGTCAGACGTTAGTTTCTTAATAATAACTTGTGTTTACTTCACTTACTTTACGTCATTTTCTCTAAATCATCATCATTCCTTGGACTTCCCGCACATTTACACGGATAGTCATAATACCTAATAGGGGTACAGTAGTCCTACAGTAAGGGTCCGTTCACACAGACCGGCTCGGAGAGCATCGGCCTGCTTTTTTCTTTTCACACAGACCGGGTCGTATACGCTTGGAATTGGCCGGAGCGGAGCCGCCAACTATTTCACATCGACCGGCTGGAAGAGATCTGAAAGCGGGTGCGGTTGGATGTGCTCGGAGCCGGTCGGATGCGCTCGGAGTCGGGTGGATACACTACAAAGGCAGTGCCAGTATTCCGCGCAGTCTAAGTTTTGTTTTCGGTGTGTTAACGTGTGCTTTTCGAAACATGGATTTAGATAGCTCCGACGAAGAAATATATTTGTTAGCAAGATTACTTGAAATAGAACATAGGAAACGTAAGCGCAAGCGGAAACAAATATGGGTAAAACATATTTGGAAAAACAGACTAATCCATGGGGAGTTTCACACCATTTTCGAGGAATTGAAGAGAGATAGCCTAAAATTTTATGAGTATTATCGTATGGAATATTGGCAATTTTTGAAATTGACAGATTTGTTAAGAGTACATATAACAAAAAAGACTACAAATTATCGTTGCACCATTACAGCCGAAGAAAGGTTAACGGTAACTTTAAGGTAAATAAAAAACAATTATTTATACTAATCATGTTATTTAGATCACAAAATCACAGCCCTCCATTTATTAAGCATTGTTTACGTTAATGAAATGTAAATTACTTATACTAATCATGTTAAATAACACAAACATCTAAATAGATCACAAAATCACAGCCCTCCATTTATTAAGCATTATTTACGTTAATGAAATGTAATTAAATAGTACAGATTTGTGTGTGTTTAATTATTATTATTATAATTATTATTGTTTTTTTGATTGTTTATTATTTTGTATTTTGTGTGCTGGTATTGTACCCGTAAGTAGTCTGATCTGGATAGTTTTGAGGAATATAGGTTTCGTTTGACACTAGGTAAGTAGATTGATTAGTCGATGGCGGTGAATTTATAGACAAAGAATAATTCAAATCTGTACTATTTTCATACAGACTTAATTCAGCTTCATTAACAATGTTAAACACGCGCCTTTTAATTCGTGCTTGGACTTCTTTTGGGAATGTTTCCACTGTATCTGACATAGACAAAAAAAAATTACGTAATGCCTTGTCACGGGGTGTAGTATTTCTTTTTTCTTCAAGATACTCTTCGAAAACCGTAGCAACATCTTTGCTTAAGCGTGGTCTCTTTTTCGAGCCAGAAGTACTTGCAAGCGATTCAACTTCAGAATGGTCAGAACGTTTAGATGATGTCGATGGTGGTGGTATTGGTGTGCCAGGCTCTGAATCATCCGATGATAATGTTACATTAGATATTTGGTTTCGATTGCGAAAAAATGGTATTATAAAAGAAAGTTCTTTTTCAAATTTTATCAATTTGGACGTAGTTGCACCATCGCCACTCTTGCCTTTTCGGTTATAATAGGCTTTTCTGAAGTTATCTCGCAGTTTCTTCCAACGATCCTGGCACTGCGTCACTGGAAAGAACAGAAATGAAAAATTAATAACATAACTCTTTTTTATTTTATAGTTCGTTTTGGTACGGCAGTCTTATATTTCTATTTTGTGTGTTTGTTTTATTTTTACAGATTCCTCATCACTGGTTGCAGTTTCAAAAACTTGTCATTTAATTTTCGAATGGGAATTTCTACAGTTCATTCAATTATTCATGAGACAGAGTAATTTGTGATGTTTTGATGCCCATAGTTATGCAGATGCCAGATGAAGAAATGTGGGAAAAGGTTTCACGTGATTTCTTTAATATTTGGAATTTTCCTAACTGTTTGGGCGCTATAGACGGAAAGCATGTCAATATACAGGCACCAGATAATAGTGGAAGCTTATACTATAATTATAAAAACTTTTTCAGTACAGTGTTACTAGCTGTGGTCGACGCGAAATACAGTTTTTTAATTGTTGATGTCGGATCATATGGTAAAAATAGCGACGGCGGAATTTTACAGAATTCAAAATTTTGGAAAAAACTCAACACCAATAAGTTAAAGCTGCCCCCAAATAAACCTCTACCTAGTACCACTGAAAGCTTACCACATGTTTTTATAGGAGACGTGGCATTTCCTTTGAGCAATAATATATTTTGTATATACGCAGTTCTAACCACAAGGAATAAATTTAAGGATTATTTTTCATCAAGTGGTGCTTTAGATTGGCAAGATCAAGTGGCTACGCGAGTTTCTTAAGTTATATTTAATAAAAATTGTCTACTACATAAGTATATTCTAACGATCAGATACTCAAACGAGTTTTTAAAGTAAGGGCGCATTTAAACTCATGTTATTCCTATTTTGACTTTGAATCTAACACGTCGCAGCACGAGTTTAAGAAGCCCTTGCTTTAAAATTCGTTTGAGTATCTGGGGGTAGGTGTAAAACAATGAAAACCTTACTTACCACTTATTCCGAGACATTTGCTAATTTCCTCCCATGCATTGTCTTTCATTATCCGATCGCTATATGATGGCTTGGTTATGTCAAATAAACACTCATATTTTGACACGAGTATTATTAATTTTTCATCATTCATCTTTTCGTACAAGTACGCACAACTATTACGTTCAAATGTTGCTATCAAAATGGCGGTCGGCGCGGCCGCAGCGGGCACGCAATCGGAGCCGATCGGCTACGCGATAGAGAAAGAGCACGCAATCGGAGCCCATCGGCTGCGCGAGCGAGAAAGAGCACGCAAGCGGAGCCGGTCGGCTCCTTTTATTACTTCACACGAAGCGCGTTCAGGCATTTTTAATGACAAAAAAGGTGCAAATGCAAAAATAAACTTTACTACAATCACTCAAAACACTGTTTCCAACGTGATAAAAATCTGCTCTCCTCTCCGAGCCGGTCTGTGTGAACGGACCCTAAGAAGGCGAGGCTGCCACTCAAGAACCTTTCTTCCCCACAGGTTAACGATTCTACTAGCTATACCGTCGGCATTGTAAAATAAGTTAAACTTAAAATTGTGTCATAATCATTTCTGTTTAATGTCTTATAAATAATTATACTTAATTCAAACAAAATATTTTCTTAAAAAATGTAATCGCATTTTTATAAACTGAAACGTAAATTGAATTAAAAGTAAACTTAACAATGAAATAAAAAACTAACATGGCTCGTTAGGAACTTAACTATATACAAAATAAGATCACAATTTTAATATCGTAAATTAACAATAAAATTAATATACAACAAGCGTTTGTACTTGTGGTAGAAAAAAAAAACGTATCTATAATAAAAAACCATAACAAAGTCAAAATGTGCCAAAATTAAAAAAACAATAACCGTTATAATAATATATGCTTATTAATGAAATCTGGTTTCCTATGCTATATGAACATCTTTCTATTTTTAAACATTATTATTCTTTTTTTAGCAGAGTTGCCATGGTTTAACATTGTGACCCTAAAATAAAACTACTAATTAACAGAACTATTGTTCCATACAATATTTTTACGTGAGGTAACAACTTGTATACTAAATTTGCATTTTAAAATACCACATTGTCCGATTCTATAGCTGTATGATAAAGCTTATAACTAACTACAATAAATGCAATGTTAACACGCTGTTCGTAATGTTCTGCGATTAAATACACGTCATAAAACACATCTGAAGTAATAACAATATAATGACATACTATGATTTTCGTTACGTAAGCAATATAATTGAAATGCGAGTTTTTAATTTACAATAGAAGTCAAAATTGTTTGGATAAGATTTGATTTAAATAAAAAGATCCCAATAAAAAAGGCTTCCGCGCCTCTAAGACTTACAATTCCGATTTTTTTTTAACTTTGCTACAATCTATCTTATTAAAATTGTGTATTGGAATTTAAATTTACAAGTTGATTTTCCGGGGTCCCCGTTATCATACTTAATATTAATAGGGAGCTACTTTACAGTACGCAAGTGAAAGGAGAACGGCAATATTTACGCAAAATTAGAAATATGAACTCTAAAGATAGCCGAGTCAGAAAAATGTTTTTAGTACAAATAAAATTAATAAATAGCGTACACACGGAAATTACAAAAAGCTAGCGTGTACGAGGAAATAATGCTAAAAAATTCGTTAACTCATTGATTATTCATAAGAGTCGAGGACTATTTTTTATAACATTCAATCGCAGAACAAATAAATAGCAAAAGTTTGGGAGGGGAAGGAAGGGGGAGGAGGGGGACAATTATCACATTAAAAATAGCTAAAAGTATAAATACACGAGAGTCATCATTACAAACTATTACCGAACATCATTCTGTCGTCGTACAGGCTCAGTCTGTTGCACTCGCTGGCCCTGCCCTTCTGGAGGGCCCTGTCTCTGCGGGCCCTCCTCACGGCCACCGGCAGGTCCCCTGGCGTTTTGACCCTGCCCGCAGGGTTCTGCAGGTTCACGCTACCGGACGAGGAGAAGATTTCGCTGACGTGCTCCAGCGAGTGCTGCCGCTTGATCGACAGCGACTTCAGAGACGGCTTCGGGGATTTCGGTCCCTGGTCGGCCTCGCCGGCGGGTGGCGCCAGGAACTTCAGGTCCGCCGTGTCTATCTCGCCGTTCAGGGCGGCGAGGTACACGGGGTTGTCGCCGCTGTAGCCGTTCACCGCGTTCTCCTTGTCGTTCGGGTCGCTGAACTCGTTGTCGAAGTTCGAGTACTTGTTGTGGCACTTGTTGAAGCCGAAGTCGCTCTTCGCGTGGCTCGCCTCCTTCAGGACCTCGTTCTGGGCGCGTTTCTTCTCCGCCTCGAGCCTGGGGACGGTCTGCATGGTTATCTTGGAGCCGCCGTTCTCGGAGAGCAGCATTAGGTGCTCGTCTTCGCTGCTGGACAGGTCTGAGTTCAGGTCGAACGGGCTGTCGCGCCGCTCGGGGCGGCTCGTGTCGATGTACTGAAGCTCGAGGTTTATACTCGCTCTAGAAGAGCGCCCGCTGTTCGAAGAGTTGGATATGATCCTGTTCTCGCTGCTCAGGCGCAGCTTCGCGGTCGAGTCCTCGGACTCCGAGTGGCCCACCTTGAAGTTGCTCTGCGACGAGACGGAGGTGCGGATCGAGTTTTTGTTCAGGCTCTCGGTGCTGCCCCGGGACGTTTTGCCCGGGTTCGCGAATTCGGCGGGCTTCGCTTTCGGTACTATCACGGCGAATATTTGGCTCCGCGGCTCTTTGTCGTCGCGCGACGGCAGCTCTTTGAACACGCGGTCGGACCTGTTCTCCGACTCCATCATCATGGTAGGCGACAAGGTCCTGTTGGGCGGCGAAAGAGTGCACGGCACCTCGAAGTTGTACGAGCTGCCTTGACCGAGGACTAGATTGGTCGGCCTATCGCTGGCGACGTTGCTGGGTTTCTCGATGAGCGACGTCCTCGTTCTGCCATTCTGCGGCGCGCCGTTCGACGACCCCTCGGCGACCAGTTTCACCTCGGTCTCCAGAGCCTTGGGAGCCCTGCACAGCTTGCGCTCGAAGAACTTCCTTATCGCCCACTTGGGCTTGTCTGCTTTCAGCTCGTGCAGCAGGTTCGTCTGCTTCGGGCCCCTGTCCACCTCGTGGCAGCTCACGTCGTTCGGCACGTACTCCAGCGGCCTCTGGTAGGAGCGTATCTCGTTCAGCCTGTCCGAGTTCTCCTGGCCGAAGTGGCGGCTGTTGCTGACTCGCGCTACGGAGAGGCAGTTCTCCTCGACGTTCCGCGCCCTGGGCGCCTCCTTGGCGCTGATGTCCTTGAGGCTCTTGTGTATGAGCTCGACGGTGTGCGTCTGCGTGTTAGTGTGCGTGTTGCGCTCTATGCACGCGTTCCGCCCGATGTGCGGCTGAGGGTAGAGCAGCGGTGTGCTCGCCTCCCCGTTCTGCTGGCCCGATGTGCAGTTCGAGTTCTTGTCCACGTCTGACGGCGAGGGCAGGTGGACATCTGCCGGGCGAAAAGCTCATAATAATATTACACTGGCGGTGTTTTTACTATGTAAGCTGTACTTTTTTTTACTTAAAATTAGACGAGATCGATTTAGTCTTCGAACTTATCCAGTGTGGAGGGGACGGTGTGTGTCCTTAATACTCTTAATCTTAAACCAACTTATCTCTCTTAATCTTAACCCGAAATAGACATAAAATCGTATTACCAACATGTAGAACTGGTGTAGGAAAAAAAGTATTCGATTTGTGGAAGCGCAACTATACAACAAACTGCCTGAGGAAATTTAAGGATGTAAAACAATTGCATTGTTCAAAAAACCCCTATTAAACACATTACTAACTACTTAGATTTTTAAACTCTGTTACCCTGTCTGAGACTGTTGTTTGTGCCATACGTATATTTAAGACTGCTCTATGTTTATCACGTTTTAAGTGAACTATGTAATGTTCTTTTTGTGATAAATAAATGTCTTTAATCTGAATCTTTATATCCTATATTTATCATATAGTCTAATTGTTTTCTATGTTAAAACATCTAGTTAATATACATATATAATAAGATAAAGAATCGACCGCAGCTGTGTATTATTATTTTTTTAATTAATAAAAAAAACATATCATTTTTCTTTAATTAAAATTTTAAAAAAAGTTTCAGTTTACGTAAAGTTAACTAAACGTAAACTGATAAATCAACCACAATGGTAGGGATCTTCAATTCGATTAGTATTCACATTCTGATCCATGGAGGTAGATGAACAAAATACATTTCAATTGAATTTTGTTATGATCAAGTTCAATGTACTCACCGGTGAGATGGGGATGCAAGTTATTATCGTGTATAATAGGTCCTTGGACGAGCAACATCATTTTCAGTTCGGCCATTCGTTCCTCTACGCATACAGCAGTTAATCTACAATTAAAAATAAACAGTCAGTTAAGGCAAATGACGTAACATTTATAGTGAAAATATATTATTTATTAGTTGTTAAAATATATTTGACGACCCTATTGGCTTGGGGAGTAGTGAACCTGCCTCCTGCGCCAGAGGGTGTAGGTTCGATCAGGTGGATCGAACCTACACCCTCTGGCGCAGGAAAAATATTGTGAAATATTGTGGAAAAATATTGTGTGATGAACTTAGTGTTTTTCAAGTATCTGGGTGTTTATATATCTATAATATATATTTATTTACAAAAACAAGTATGTTCAAGTATATAGGAACATGACTCATATCAGGCTCAATAGTCCTCTCCATCTTTATACAGCGTGTCGTTACCATCGCGACAATAAATGAACACAGGTCTAACGCTACTTGCCAATAATCTTAAAAAAATATTAACGTTAAACAAAATCCATAATTAAAAAAATATTTTTCAAACAAACTAATTAAGTAAAAAATAAACAAAATTTGTAACATCCTATACAACTCGCGCCACAGCGTCGCATTACAAGCCTCTCCTTCTAAGAGTATGTTTTGTCTCTTTTAAATTCATTCAACCCATTCATATGCTTTGTGACCTTTACAAATGAACTTTACGTGACGCTTTTATAGGTAAGGGTGTTCTAAAATTCTTTGTTTTGGAAAATTTAATAACTCTGTAAATATTGATGTTTAAAGAATTTAAATGTTTAATACAACTTTAAAAAGTTATCCCCTATATGTGTGTTCATTTATTGTCGCGATGGTAACGACACGTTGTATATAGGGGAAGCGTGTATTAACGGGCGAGGAGCTATAATTACAGACCACGTTACGGTATGTATGTTTATCAGTTTTCTAGTACACATAATACAAGCGTTGCTTAGTTTGGGGCTAGAGAATTTTGTGTAGAAATGTGTCTGCAAATATTTATTTATTTATTATATATTTATTTATAGTTACACAAATTCAACATTTACCTGGCTTCTGCGTCGTGATCCCAACATTCATCGCATGTGTCTGTTGCGATCTTTAAAGCACGGGCTTCAGGTACAGGTCCTTTGGGAAGAGGCGGTCTCGCTTTGTTACGGGAAACAAGACTCTGGAGACAGAAAATATAATTATTTTATGTGTGGCTCGAAGTCGTTATTATAACATAAAAAATATTTACAAGACAATAAATAAAACCAGGTAATACCAAAAGTAGCAGCATTTCGGATAACTTGAGATGAGTGCTACAAACATCAGAGTAAAAACTGCCGAAGTTAGTTTAGGTTTTGTATTCAACAATTCTGTATTCAACCGCAATATTTAATGTAGTGTGTTAAAGAAGCTAAAAATTTAAAGCAATATCAAATTATTTTACGATATATTCGGTAAACTTTATATTACTGTCAATATAAGCCTACAATTACGCAAAAAGCGGTGAAAATACTAGAATTACTTGGTTCACGTAAAGATAACGCGGACGTAAAGGTACTATGGATGTATCAGGAGTGCAGGAGCGCGTTATCTGTATCGAAGTCATGCCATTGGCATTTACTGATAATATAGTACCAGAAACACATAAGTGTAACATCCCTCTTACCTGTATATTTGCACCAGCGAGGGGGGCGTGGAAAACTTAACGATGTAAATGGTCATGCCATGTAAGTGGAGCGATGTTATCTGCATTTTGACCAGTGAGGGCGTGGACAACGATGTCGTCACACGGCCGTCATGCTAGGGGCGTTATTCCGTAACAAAGTACCAGGAGTACATAAGTGGAGGGGTATTACTCGCAATTTACACCAGTAAAGGCGTGGACGTGAACGTCATCTGTAGCGTCACACGGCCGTCATGCCAGAGGCGTTATATCCAAAACCTAGTACCAGAAGCGCATAAGCGTAGGGACGTTACCTGCATCTGCGCTAGTGTGGGCTGCGGCGGGAGGCCCAGGTGGTGGTAGGGCGGCGCGTAGGGAGGGGCGCGTCGCGGATGGGCTCCGGCGCAGCGCCACAGCATCTCCCACAGCACCAGCGCCAGCGCGAACACGTCCACTGCGCACAGAGCGGCCCGCGCCCCGCTCAGGTCCAGAGCACCCTCCAAAGCCTCCGGAGACAGGTATCGCAGGGTCCCAGCCTAGAGCACCGTGTGACATTTGAAACCTTTGAAGGATTTCTTTAAATTAACGAATATTGGTCATCGATAAATAATAGTAAACTACCTTTACGGAATCAATCGTGTTTAAGTTAGGTTAAGTTTAAGAAAGCAAGTAAAAATTACTTTGTTTAACATATTAAGAAAATCTAAATTGAAATCGAAATGAAATAAACCTACAGAATATTTGTAATTTAAATTTTAAATCATTATTGACCTAATAAATGGTAGTGACTACTTGCAGTTTGAGGTAATAAGTTCGAATCTTCGTGACATCAATGTCAATCAAAAAAAAAAGTCTCCATCTTCGTGGTCGTTCAAATGCTTTCACCACCAAAGGGAACATGTTCTAATGCCCGAAAGGCACGCAGCGCCATCCCGTACGGGAGCCCCCGAATCGAATCGAACCCGAAGCCAGGACGCGTCAGAGCGCGGCGCCTCACCTCCGTAATGCGGCTCGGCGCGGTCCGATCCCGTCGCGGCGGCAGCGGCTGCGCCAGGCCGAGGTCCGCGAGCCGCGCGCGCCCGTCCGCCGCCACCAGCACGTTGTTGCTGTTCACGTCGCGGTGCACCACGCACGGCTTGCCGCCCGCTGAGCGGAATTGGCGCGGAACAATTGTAACGGAAACCGGCGGTGCGACGGAAGTGAAACAACGGAAGTGACGCAACGGGAGCGGAAACGGGAAGTGTGATTGAAATGGAAAAGGGTTGATTTTATGGCAATTCGTTCTGGTCGCTTATACAGCGGTGATAGCTGCGTTTCGACTCAAAATAGAAAAAAAAAAACGAATCAAATTCACCTCAATATTATTTGTACAAAGGTAGACTTAATACCAGAGGCATTTTTCTGCAAGTAAACCTAACGAGTGGTGCAGAAGAAAAAACTATACATATAATAATAAATACACTACACTTTTGATTACATGTCGACTTGGTTGACGTGTAGCTAAGCAATGAGTTTCGGCGCTGTGGGCCCTACCAGAGTTGTAACTGTGGTTATTTATTGTAACTGTGGTAGAGCCACTTCTCAGACTACGATAGATATTCCTGGTCGCAGTGGTCGTTGGGACTTATTACGAACCCTGCATTATTACAATCATAAGACCAGTGTTCATAAAAAACTGAGACACTAAACTTCACTTCATTTATTAGATGCAGTGCCTACTGTGAGTTTGCTACACTGGTTTAAACCATCGGACAGTATCGAGTAAACTTGGCTTGGAAGCTGCCTTGCAAGTAGACCCAAATAGAATTGCTTAAAATTTTTTGGTGCGAGTGCTCCCCACGTGAGCCCGCTTAAGTCATATCCTTTGTGTAGTTCAAGTGACATACTTTAGTGTAAACAGTTAAATTAGTAGTGGTTGGCAAAGAACAACAAAATTCCACATATGACTTTTCTCGTCCTTTTCGCTAGAAAAATGCAGCTGGACTTGCTTTAGTATAAACAGCCGCCTGTCCTGTGCCCGCCACTGGCCGCTATACTTGTACCCGCTACGCGCCACTGTCCTTGACCAATGTAAATCCGACTGTAAACGTGGCGCACTTGCCAAGGCCAAGGTTTCGGCGCCGGGGGTTGTGGGTTCGATTCCCACATGGGAAAACTATTTGTGTAACTCACGGACAATTGTTTCGGATCTGGGTGTTTGTCCACGTGAAATTTTCGTTTGTAAAACGTCCTTACAACACAGAATAATGTTATTGTTGAAAGATAGGAGGGTAGTAGAACACTGCAATGGTCTTTAAAAGTTACAGCGCTCGCCGTGTTCGAGGGACTTTCACGTCAGCCGTTGTAGCGTGCGGAAACTCTAGCCGAACTAATAACGATCGTGTCGGTTACTAGGAACTGTGATCAAACTACGTAGTTAGGTTCGATTATCGATTATCGTTGCTATCTCTAAGGCCATCCTACCAGTGAGGGCAATGTTTAAAAAAAATCGGGCTCCTGAGGGCACACTCACCGGCGGTGTGCAGGTGGGCGAGGGCGGCGGCGAGGCCGTGCGCCAGCGTCGCGAACTCGAGCCAAGTCAAGGGGTCGCGCTCGAGCCGGGCGCGCAACGTGCACGCGCACAGCTCGAGCACCAGCAAGTGCTCGCGGGGCGCGCCCTCCGTCATCGTCGGCCGCGCGTCGCTGCCTGCGGGACAGTGGAAACGCACCGGCCCCGTCAACGCTTCGACGGAATGAGGCGGAGTTTTTTTTCTAATCTCGTGTATTTGATCTTCATGTGTGGTACGGCCGTGGTCGTAGCATGGGCACGTTCAATGGGCAGGCCCGTCTGGGGAAGTACCACGACCTCCCAGAAGACCGGCGTGAAGTGGATGTTTTACACTTCTGCGTTTCTTCGTTACTAATAAGACAACGCGTCTGCAACCCTACGGGTGTTGCAAATGTCCATGGCGGTTATCACTTACTATCGGGTGAATCACCAGCTCAATTGTAACCTTCTCACCTAAAAAATGCACAAATAGCATGCAAACAGACATGACATGAAACTAACATGGGGTACAATTATCATTATACTTTAGTTTTTACAATTATAATAATTGAAGTGCAACAAAATGCAAAAGTATATGTTCCAATACAGTAATTTATTATTATTCTGTAGTAATAGCAGTCCAAGATGTAAATAAAAAAAATTACGGTAATTACTAAGTTATCCGCGGAAGGTTTCGCGCAAATAGAATGTAATAGAATAATAATAGATAATAGAATACTTGTCTATGGGTCAAAACATATTGGACATGTTATGCAACCGACACTTGGTGAATTAAAAAAAATACCATAGTATCGCAATAGGTTGGGATGCGCGAGATGAGGCAATCCGTATATCGTGGCTTCTTTCTGCCAGGCATTGGCATTGTGGTAGAGTTTGACCGCTACTGGTGTTGCGCCTAGCGTTCCACGCCAGACCGAGCCAAATTTACCCTGACCTGTGTAAAATATAAAATATACCATGATATTTTTTGAATTTCTTCTATTCAGAAGATTTTATTAAATCAAACAATTTAACTGATCATGAAAGTATTCTAAATTTGAATTGAACTCCTTGGAAAGCTGAATTTAAATTTAAATTAATTAAGTAAGATAGCATCTCTTAATATTTTTTTATATAATTAAAAATACAAAAGGCCTAAATAAATATTACTTTATGTAATGTGCATATTTTAAAGATATTTTTTTTACAGACAATACTTTGGTGTTTGTTAGTAAGTTTCTTAATAAGTTTCTATTTAAGTATTCTAAGTTTCTTTGCAATAAATCTCTCTCGTTAGAATAGGCATTGCCTATAATTTTATACCCATGTTCATTTTAACACATACCAACTCTTGTGTGGTATTAAATTACATGTATGAAAAATTTAAATACACAATAACAAAATATGCTCACCAATGTGCTCTATAAGAGTTAGATTATCGACACATAGCAGTCCAGTAGCTAGCGCATCAGGTCCACTACCCATGATGTCTCCTGAAATGAACACGTATAAAAGATGATGGTCTCAGCTTTTGTAATCAATTAAAATATAATTTGAAAATTTAATGGAACGTCCATAAATGTACAAAAAATTATAAAAAATAAATGACAGATTGCAACCCCAGTATAACTATTAAGATTTCCATTCTTTATATGAAGTTATTGACCAGTTCTGGTTAGCCTATTGAATAATGTAAAGAGAAATTGTTAACATGAGCATTTTAAAAATGTGAGTTAAATATTATTACAATTAGTGACCCTTACCTTTCTCAACATCACCGACGTCACTCAAATCATCCTTTACCAATGCCATCTTCCTACAGTACAAGTTTCGACACATGATAGCAATTACCAATACGGAGACTAATGCTAAGATGGCTGAAGCAATAATACTTGGATACTTAGGACGTTGAGAGGAACTGCTCATGGTAGACTCAGCTTTTACAGTTACCGTTTCTTCTTTGAGGGATGCTGTGTAAAAAAATGCATGTTGATGTTATTTCATATAAGATTTTAATTAAAACATGATAATGAAGATGGCTGCAATAATCTTGTAGATTTTATACATATTTCTTTTTAGAAGTACATTACATTAAATAATTGTAGCTTAGTAATTATGAGGTTAATTCCATTGAAGCATACATATTATTAATATCTAATCGCCTGTGTGCTGGTGCTTATTTGTATAGAGAAGTCTATCGAAAAATGAAAATGTAATATTTCATTCAAAGTTGATAAAACATATTTTTGATTAGGTGTTATTAAATTCAAATGAAAACATCAAACAAAATATGGTCAAAGATAAATTTTTACTTACTGAAGTCAGCATTACAGAAGCTATTTGTACAACAACAGAATTTGCTGCCTGGTAGGCGTGCTGTTACCCTTGTACACTTATTGTCACAATTTCTCTGTGATGACCGCCAACAACCTGCCCATTTAGAGATAATATTAATGTTTACATAGAGATCACATTTATCACATGCACAGTTGTCAAGGAAATTATAGTGAGTAAACCTGCATATTTTCAAAGTAATAAAAAAATATTTTAAAGATATATGCTCTGCTAATCTGCTGGGGAGTCACAAGATGAACAATGCAAAGATACTGTCTGCACTGAGGAGCTCTTGCCAAGAATGATATAGAGTATATAGCTGAAATTTCCTTTTTAAAATGGCTAAATAAGTGGAACTACAAATTTTGAACGATTTTGATATTCCTGCTGCTAAAATTTTGTATTCATTAAATATGTGAAATGTAAGTTTCTTATATTCATAGAAATATTAAAGAAAAATTATTAAGATTATTAAATGAATTGTCTTTTTATGAATCATTAAAATGTTGGGAATTAAAGTGATAAAATCCTCAAAAATAGCCTCATTTGATAATAAATTATAAGTACTTATTACATTACAGTTAGTACATTTACATCAGTTCAACAAACATTGAAGATATAATAATAGGTCTCGCCTAAACCTATGAAATTGCTGTTCTTCAGTGCTGGCTATTTCAAACATAAAAAGTTTTGATCGGCTGTGAATTCTAAATTCAAATTAATTTTGTTTTAATAACATGATTTTTTTTTTAAAAAGGCAGTCTTTTGTTTATTGGTCAACTTTGTATTTTCATTATATTTGAACATTTTTCATACATAATGGACATTATTATTTCATACATAACATAATGGATACTTTAACAATTCGTGTTATTATGTAATATGAGTTGCGCCATGGCACCAACGTAACATAAACAACATTTACGAAGAAAACTTTACAAATGAATGCACAACCCATTATCGGTTTTCCCGGTTCTGGCCTGGAAATTTTGACTTGAACCTTGTGGTCGTCCAGACACTTTGGTCAACAATAATTGTGGAAGCTGATGATACTCAATCTATAGCCGGGCTGGCAGCAGCTTTATGTTTGTTAATTCATAAAAAATGGCAATTTCATAGGTATAGACCTAATATAAGGATATAATATTATAGTTTCGTAAAGAATGAGCTAGAAAAGTATATTTTATTCATGTTAGAATACTTATATTACCCAGATTCAAACAACAAAACTTAAGTAGGTAGTAGACATTAGGAATAATTAGCATTAGAGTAAATTTGACAGAAAGTTAAATATGCAAATATTACAAGTCTTAAATGTATATAATTTCATTCTAATACCTTGACCTAACACTGTGATATTGCCATCATGATCTTGGTGCCACAGTGTGTAACAATAAGCATGTGGATCTGTGCACTGTTCCACCTGAACCACTTCACCATTAGGTAATGTTGTTTCAGACAGGGAGCCCGTATCTGTAAAGTATAGTAAAGATAGATAATTAAATAGTCTATGTAAAATATATAGTATTATGGGAGAGTGCCGACATTGCTCCTCAAACATTTGAGTTCAATTTTCAACATAAGAGCAGTATATTTAAATATCTTTAAATTTTAAGGGAAAAAATTATACATAGAATACTCACCATAGATTTCATTTTCAACCATTAATTGGGCATTTCTTTCTTCATCATACGATGGAGTTACACTCATTGCAACACTGTGTATCTTGTGTAGGCATGATATTGTAGGTCCAGTTGTAGTTGGAGCATCTGTTACTATTATAGCTGCCTTCACTTTGTACTGCTTTATTTCATTAGACACTGCATTTTGAGCACTTAAATCCTCTTTACCATAACTCAGAGCTTTCTTTTCTATTGACCCAACAAAGTTGCCTCTAACGGAATCAGATGTTATATGATTTATGTTATCCAAATGATCAGATGTACCAAGTAATTCGTTGGAATTAAGAGCATCTAAACTTCGTTTACCTATGACCTTGGGATGGTCTTGTGTTGGCCAGTCGTCAGTTAGATCCTGTAAATTGTTCCATTGTATGGTTCTTCTGTGATGGTACTTGGTAAAGGTTCTAACATAGTGAGCTGGTTTAAGATGATGCATATTGTTTTTGGTGTCTTGAGATTCTTGAGGTCGTGACGTTAATACTTTTGCGGTGAATATGAACAAAAACAGCACGACACATTTTAATAGAGGTGTTACTCTTTGGGTTAATATTCCTTCCATCATTTTTTAAACTTCCCTTTTAAAATTAATGATAATAATTCATTTTATAACAATTTTAAGCGTTTGCATTGGTACGTTATTGCAACTTAGCAACGGCACTGCAGAATTTATTGATTTTTCTTAGCACAATACAATTTCGACAAACTGCATTTTTCTGTTATTTTATAGGGCATTTCATTGTTCATAGATACCCTTTTAAATATAGTATATGTTGTTACCGGTTAAATTATAAATTAACGTGAAATATTTTTTCGAGTTTTATAAATTTATTCTTAAGTTTGTTTTGTACTTGCTAACGTAATAGACCAAATACTTGTGATTTTCGATTTTGTCTATAATTCGCACAGATTTATTATATCACTTCAAGCTAAAGTTTTATTAAAACCATTTTAATAAAAAGATCGATAGAGTGTTGACAAACACATTTCATCAGCGACCGACATATTGACTGCGTAAAATTGTTGCTAGCTGCGATATTCAATTAAATTCGCAAAAAAAAATTTAGCAACAATTAAAATAAAATTCTTTTCAACCGACTTATTTTTTATTTTAACATTAGCACGACGGCTTTTAAAGCTTTATTGGAAGAAGAGATTCAAATGCAGATAACTCGTAGATTCATGCAGATGGAGTACAACGTAGCTGGTGCACGCACGACTACAATATGATGTCTGTCTAGTTTTATAGAAAGATCGCCAATTTTGACTTAGAACAATGGCCCCCCTTTAACATGACGCTAAGAGCCTATCAATGGGAGGTTTGAACCTATACTTGGACCGGTTCCGTACCTTAAAAGGTAAAAAAGGAACCCTTATAAAATCACTATCTTGTCAGTCTTTCCGTGAGTCACCACCAATTTTCTCAGGAACGGGTGGACTTATAGTTGAAATTTATACCAGACTAGCGACTCACCCCGGCTTCGCATTGGTGCAATGTGTTATAGATATACCCTCCTGTGTTATAGATTTACCTTCCTCGTGAATCACTATATCTAGTAAAAAAAACAGCATCAAGATTTGTTGCGTAGTTTTAAAGATCTAAGCATCACAGAGGACAGACAGAACTTGTAAGTACCTAAAATTACCTTCATTTTCTACATTTTAATTTTTCACAATTTTCCCTTTAGTTGTGGTGTAAGACCTTTTTTTACCTAAAGCAATTGTAGGTCAACCAGAAGTACCCTAGAGCCTTTGGATCGAAGAAATGTCTCTACGTCACGTCAGTCTCAGTCACAGTCAGTATTGTCAGTTTTTTATTTCTAGAATTGGCTTTTATATAACTGTCTTCTGTCGTGTTCTAAATAAATTCATACTTTCATACTCATACACCATAGATTATAGTCTCATATAAGTATGTATCTATGATCATAGATATAGTATGTATAGTTTTGGTACCTGACGTCTGTCATTAGATTTAAGATAATATAGTTTAATTTTTCAGTTTTTTGCTAGATGCTTATTCTGTAATATTTGTGTAATTGATTGTTTATCCATATTTATTATTATAACGTAAGCTATTGTAGTTATGTCGTCCCCAACCGCAACAGACGAAATTGACGAAGCAAAAGAGCGTGCCCATTTCAAAGCCGTTGTTACAGCTTTTAAATATTACAAGTAAGTAATTATTGTTTATATAAAAATTTATTTAATTTTAAATCACTAGAAACAATATTATATGCCTTAAAATCTTTCCTTTGTTCCGCTATATTTTGACAATGCCAATTATGATTTATTATAGGTAAAATTTCTTTTGTTGTATCGAATTTGGTCTATGCAATTAACCTATTTAGATACAACAATGAACTTTGTTTACGTGCGATGCACGTGTGGAAGTTTAACCCTAACGGCCTTGAAGTTTTGGTTGTTTTTACTTTGTGTCAATATAAAAACAACTTTAGTGTGTCACACTTTTTAGTAATAAAGACCAAATAAGAATTTATTCTGGAATATACAATAATCTAAAACTGACTTTAGGTTTTGTTGCACTCAAACATTATAAAAATAGTGACATTAAAAAAAATTATAATCAATATAATATCTAATCATAATTTTTAAGCCTTATGCTTATAATTACATCATGATGTATAATATTTATATGATTAATGACATTAAGATCCATTTAATTTAAAGAAAAATCATATTGTGATATGTAAAAAATATTTATGTTAATGCACATATCCATAGTAAGATACATTATGTCTTTTTGTGACAGATTTAGTGGAAAAGTTTAAAAAAATCTCATAAAAGTGGCTCAATTTTCCATTGATGTCCCTCTAGTTGGGGTTAATATTTTTTTAACAGTACCTAAAGTTTCAACTTGCGGAAATTCAAAGTTTTAAAGTGTTTAAAAATATCACAGAATTTGGCCACATTTAAATGGTGAACTGTAAAATTATTCCAATTTGTACTTTTTCTTACACCAAATTGCATTAGAGCATTGTTGCAAATTGATTTTATTTATTGTAGAACACAAAAATAACACTATAACACACCATCATGTTGAAATACAATTGTTTTTGCATTTTTAACTTTTTACTGACATTCCTTGTTTTCTCCGTGTAGTCTTCAAATAAAATTTTGATAACATTGACCCTGACTCCACCTGCCCTAAGAGTCTGCCCTACTCCTAGTGTTTTTATACAGCGTGTCTTTACAATCACGACAATAAATGAACACGCATTTAGATTATAACTTATAACAATATTTACCAAGTTATAAAATTTTCCAAAACAAAGAATTTTAGAACAGCCTTACGTATATTATTATTTATATAGGCTTGTAATTCGACGCTGTGGCAATTAATGAAAAAGTCTCTAAATGTATGAATCAGTCAGTGGTAGTTGTATAGGATGTTACAAATTTTGTTTTTTTATTAGTTTTGTTTGTTTAAAAATATTTTTTTTATTATGGATTTTTTTAACGTAAATATTTATTTTATGATTATTGGCAAGTAGCGTTAGACGTGTGTTCATTTACTGTCACGGTGGTAACAACACGCTGTATATTCGCAGGTGCCTGAATGGGCAGGTCCATTCGGGTAAGACCTTGCAGAAGAACGGCGTAAAGTGGATGTGTTACACTTCGGCATTTCGTCTGATGAGTGTGGTAGCCGGAGCCCACTTTATTTAAAGGTGTGGCAATGTATTTGCCACCTTCAAATAAAGTGCAATTATTACTTAACATCAGGTGAACCACCAGCTTGTTTACCTCTTCCCCTCCAAGAGGTTCCCCTTATTTTTAAAATGAGAGAAATATCCTTCTTTTTATTGATTAAAATTAAAAAAAAAATATATAAGGAAGGGCTCCACAACTTTAGCTTGCAGTGATGTTCCATTTGCATAATGAGCAAGCTTGTTCAAGTACTACAGCAATGAAGCCTAGCATAGAATGGATACATTATACTCTCATGTCTGGTGGGTGGGGTTACGGTGCACATTTGTTTGAATGTTAGTAATGCATCTGCCATCCTTTATTTGATGTCCATGGGCAGACAGCAATTATTTTAGGTTATGGGGCCTGACTGCTCACTTGCCAAGTTTTTGTGTGAAAAAGATATTTACATAATTACGACCTAATTATTTTAGGTTATGTGGCTTAGAAAGGATACATAAATCTGAGAAAATTATATCAATGCTACCTCAGAGTCATCAGAGAAGATTAGAAAAGTACAAAACTTATCTAACAAAATTTAAAAAGTGTTTGGATGTTAACAACAGTGTGGTTCATCTAATTATTAAAGATGTGGACACAATGTTTGAAAATGTTGACCATAGTAATAATGACATGTCCGGTACCAATGGCACAGAAAGTTTTGGTTGCAATTATAACAATTGTGAAATCACTTCACTTAAACAGCACAAAATGCAGCATGATGTTGAAAAGGTATGTAAGTAACCAGTTTCTAGATGCAACACTCAATGTCATCACCTCTCTTAGCTGTTGCTAATTGTAATGTTTTTCTATATTATTATCATTATTCCTGAAAACATCTTATATAATTATAAAAATTTTGATTCTTTTATTAATAGGTACAGTCAGTGTTAAAAAATATTGTACGTGATTGGAGTGAAGTTGGTGCTCCCGAGAGAGATCAATGCTACAGGCCTATATTGGAAGAGTTGGAGGCTCGCTTTCCTCTTGAAGAATTTAGGTATGCTAAATGATGCATGCAAGGGCCGTGTTATTGCACAGTGCATATTATCTTTTTTAATGTTTAGTTAAGATCTTTCTTCTTGCAATATACTTACTTCTTAACGACTTCTTTATAATTTTGAAGAATTATAAAAACTACTGCTATTATTGTAACACAAGAAGTGTAAATTAATTCCTTGCATTATTTATCAAACATTCAGTTATGCAAAGGTTATAAATATATAGCTTTATATTTATTATTATTTTTATACATATTATATACACATGATACAGTTTCAAATAGCTCAATTTCAATTTGATTGTATGAATTTGTCATTTTTGGTATTTTATAATTGCCCGTATCATGTTCATTACCATATTTTTTAGTCTGCATGTTTAAACTAGTTTTGCATTAGGCTGTTATATCTCTGTTTATTTAAATTTTATTACTTGTTTAATGTCTTCATATATTTTGTTTTCAGTGACCGGTCACGAATTAAGGTGTTAGTTCCAGGAGCAGGACTGGGTCGATTAGCGTGGGAGGTTGCAAACAGGGGCTATATGTGCCAAGGAAATGAGTTTTCATTATTCATGTTGTTTGCAAGCAACTTTGTACTCAACCGGTGTCCGGAAGTAAGTTGAAATTAGTCTTTCTTTATCTTTAATTTTGTGTTTTGTGCTAGATTTTATCGGCCGCCCGATTACCGACCGAGCTATAAAAACGTTTTTTTTTCGCGGCGAAATTTACCGTCATATTTGAATGATATAACCTAGCTAGATCGATTTTTCGCCCCAGAATCTCTACGCACATACTAAATATACAAGAATTGCTTGTTTAATGAATAAGATTTTATCATATAAAATTCATAAAACTATTACATAGAAATACAATGAATTATTGCTCAATTGTTATGATGTTTAACTTGATTTCATAGGTTAATATGCACACAGTGCATCCATGGTTACACCAGTATGTGAATAATGTAACTTGCGAACACCAGCTGCGGCCTGCCAGGTTTCCAGATGTTAAGCCTTCGGCAGATAAACCAAATTACAATTTTTCAATGACTGCAGGCGATTTTCTTAAGGCATGTTTTCCATAATTAATTTTTTACTATTATATTTAAATGCAAATAAAACATTCATGTACTATTATATAATATGAGCCAATCTATATACATCTATTAAAAGATATAAAAGTATACAACTACTGAACTCATTTTAAATATCTCTTCTCAAACTGCAAACGTATGCGAAGTGTTTCATGGAATTATTATTTTTGTGCATGTTATCTATTAAAATCCTAATAGAATTATTTCTATTATTATTAATTTTATTTAGCTTTGTTAATTGAACAATTATCATTAGGACTCATAAAAATCTTCAACTATAACCATAAGATAGATAATTATTTTAACAGATTGTTTATATTTATATTTAAATTTTAGGTGTACACAGAAGTGGATGAGTGGCATTGTGTGGCAACTTGCTTCTTCATTGACTGCGCACCAAATGTGATAGAATTTATTGAACGGATATACGCCATTTTAATGCCGGGGGGCTATTGGGTCAATTTAGGTCCATTGCTTTATCACTATAGGTAAGACAAAACATTGTTTTTGACAATTTTGCCCATTAGTTGGTTGAACATTATGTTCATTACCATTTTTGAATGATATTTTGCTATGATAGAGTATTTGGTTGCACATTTACACAGTTGTGTAGACAGATTATGCTGTGGAGACAGATTGTGTTGTGTAGACAGATTTTTCTATGTATACAGTTTCGGTAAGGGTTGTTTTGGTTTCGCCGTGCTAGTAGGCGAGGACGAACTAATTGGTTTTAGCACGTTGGGTTCGACGTATCCTAGGTACTTTTTCAGACTTGTTCATTCATGTCGGATTGGTAATTCTTTGCGTTTACCACCAGAGAATTGCAATGATCCGAAGTTCTTAACCATGTTAGCAAGTAAAAATATGGCTGCACACCATGTGCAAATGCAACTCAGTTTGTTTTGTATTCCTAGGAAATCTGAAGATATGTAATTACGGTGCACATTTGTGGTCACATATTTAATTTAATTTTGTTTCTTTTTGTATTTCAGCGATATGCCTACCGAGAACAGTATAGAGCCGCCTTATGACATACTGCTGGACATTATAAGGGATATTGGTTTCGATATACTGGTAAGTTGCGATATAGCGAATTTATGTAATCGCAAAATAATTTAAATACGTACCTTGAAGTTCGTCCAACTCATTTCACACTCAACAGTGTATCAGATGGGCAACACTGCGAGGATTCGTATTGTCTTCTAATTCGCTTTTTTTACTTAAAACTGGCCAGTGTTTCATTATTTTCCTATGTCGTGTTAAGTAGCGTCTTATATGTTAAATGGATTATCACAGTAACAATCTATTTTGCCTTGGACAAACATTGTAATCGGAAGGGATTAACGCTGACGCAGACGCTGGCAAACTGTTTTACCACTTCACTGTTCGCTTTATGAAAGAGGAGGCTCGTTGTTCGAGAACAGGGAATGTTAACATCAAAAGGATAGTCCATTTGAGCGTCTTGTTGTCCGATAATGGAGGGAGGAGGGGGATTCCCCTATTAAATTATATACTTCCTTAACTTTAATCTATAGTAAATTTTGGCACTCACTCTGCGTTCGTGCTCGATACCAGGCATATATCACCATGGCAAAGTCACAAATAAACCACCTTAACAGTTTAGAGTCGAGATCTGAATAAGTCTAAATAGCTTTCTGAGTTTCTAAGAGAAACGTTATTTGGTGATGTGATAGTTTTTTTGCGATGGATTTATGGATGTATTAAGTCTCTTTTTTTGCCATTCGACTGGCAAACTGTTGGCACAGTGTGACTGCCTCCCACGTTTTCCCATTGGCTTGAGAGATCAATATTCCGCCGCATGCATAACCGAAAATCCCTAGACGGCTTTAATCAATTGCACAATAATGTATTCCATTATTCAAAATGTTTGCCGGTCACAATAACAATATTTTTTTTACTACTACTCTGCCAAAGAAATTTTCAGATTAAAAGAGATTAAGACTAAAAAAAATTAGGGCTGTGTTTGTTGTGTATGATTTTAAATTTACCTTTGTCCTCTAAATACAGGAAGAACGCACGGGTGTGAAGACGAAATACGCACAAAATCCTAACTCGATGATGCAGCACGAATACGATTCTGTCTTCTTTGTCTGCAGGAAACCTTTTATTCTTTAAAACACTGAATATCTATATAGTATGGTACTAATCAAGGTCTTAATGTGTATACGCGAATACACTGTTTGTTGAAATAAGAGCATATTTTAGAGATTTATTATTATACGTATTAGGTGCGATACGAGTACAGTATTTTGATTATAAGTGGAACTAGAAACAATTTGGAGATTAGAATGTGTTGTAGGTCTATAACAATTTTGCTTGCAGTGAATATTAATGTTTTAGGATATTTCGATGTTTCTTTGTGTCGTTTACGAATCATACTTAATCTCGTTGTATGAAAATTCGTACTGTATCAATTCAAGTAATGTTTGATCTTATGTGCTTTGTAGTGGGTACGTACTTCCTATGTACCGTTAGAGAAATTTAGGCGTCCACTAGTGGAGAATAGTTAACCACACGTGTGGTCGTGGCATATTCTTGTTAAATATCGTAAACGTCCAGGTTTCCTTGTGATTATTTCAGCGCCATACACGCGTTAAATCTGAACATTAAATTTCAGTTATGTGTCTTACATATGCACATGCCACAAAAACATGTATGATAATATTATCATACGTTTTTGTTTCACTGTTTATATGTTTTCCTTGTTAGGTATAGTACGTAAATACGTACATATAAAAAAAGTTAAAAATTGGTACACAATGAGAAGTACATTTACATAATAAAGGATACAGAGAATGCTTTCAAAATTTTTCTTACAATCACGCTAAAAGTATGTACGTTAAATAAAATTAGTTTACAGATTTTTCTCGCCTTTAATTTAATTTTCTTCTGTCTAATATTCACATAAACATAAATCATAAATTAAGCTAGAAAAATAAAAAGCAAACATAAAATCCGTTTCACAGTATCAAGTAAGCATAATATGCAAAAAATATAAAGTACTCAATGTTTATGCTTGATTATGAGAGCAAATGTATCGAGCCGACAAAATATTAAGTTTTTGAGTTTTGTTTTGCATTTATTGTTTAATACTAGGTAAGTTTATTTTAGGAAACTAGTAGGCTTAAAACCCTTAAGTATTGTTGTATCTGTGGTCGTCCTCGCGAGTTAAATTGCACAAGTTATTAAACAAGTAGCTTGATCATGATGTTTTAAACCCGTTAATTATATACTTGTCTAGATTGAACAATGCTTAACAAACAACGCGCTAAAATGTTTATGGATGCCTACTTCAAATTATTAACTTATAATTTTTATTTCACCAGCATCTAATAAAATTACTTCCCATTATTTAATAAGGGGAGAGTTAAACAAAATAGGGTGAATAAAGTAGTTTTATTTATTTTAGTAAGAACAAAAAGTACAATGACAAAATACAGTAGTTTATACATCAAAATCTGTTTTTAAAATCTTGTATTTTATATAGATTTGCAAGTACAGAATTCGTAAGAAATCTGAACCCAAAATAAAAGAACTAACAAAACTAGTAATCAGTTTTGTTAGTCCTTTTATAGTGCATGACGTCATGGCTTTTTAAAATAATAATTTTCTGAACAAAATATGATGTAATAATACTTGTATTTTGCCCCCCATACTTTCTCCTAAACTTCCTAGTAATAAACTGACAACACCGGCTAACCAATCTAGCCTACGGAAAAACGAATTAAAAAATCGTGTTTTCTTAAATTAATAGTGGTTAATAACAAAACTTATCGATGAAAAGTGATCTTGGTACTATTATACAATTTTCCCACATAATTGACACGATTTGATAGCACAAACCGGCATAATTAATTATTTTTAATTCACGTTATCCGTGATAACGAAAAAAAGTAATTAAATAAGTGAAACGCGAGTCTACCAATTTTAGGTGATATTTTTCGTGCCATTCGGCACGGTTAATGTGTCTAGACAAGTATAAATAATCAAAATTTAAACCATAAAATGTATGCGTAATGAATCATATTCTGGACATAATTGCAAGAGCAAATTGTGACGTCAAAATGCCACATTTGATGATTGAAAACTTGTATCTAAGTGCTGATTTCGTCTCTCCCCCTTAGGTTGAACTTAAAGTTGTTTATCATAGTTATTAACGTTTATTTATGTGGAAAGCTATGATAATGAAAATAACGATCCCCGTGAGCTATGTAGGAAGTCCCTAATGTGGCGTCACAACGCGTACTTTTTAACCGACTTCAAAAAAGGAGGAGGTTTCTCAATTCGACCGTATATATTTTTTTATGTGTGTTCGCGGATAACTTCGTCGTTTATGAGCCGATTTTGATGATTCTTTTTTTGTCGGAAAGGTGATATCCCAAGGTTGGTACCATGGTAAGGAAACCCGGATCTGACGATGGCATCCCAGAGAAATCTAAGTCAATCATTGATTGTTATATTTATTAACAACGTTTTTAATTTTCTGATTGAAGGCCGTTTTTTTGTTAAAAATTATACTTGTAAATACTCGTGGAGCCAATCTTTGGGACTCGTATTTACTCATACTCGTAAGACTCAGTATGTTCTCAGTAAGTTTTAACTAGTACGACTTACCTCTAGTGCTGAGTGTACCGTTGGCTCATATAATATTAGACATAAAACAAAGTAATTATATTTAATTCAAACGACTTAGCTTTTTGATACACGTAGAATTTTTACGTTTTAAAGGTTGTCAACGTATCAGTAAGCCATCGGTGGTTATAGATGTCCATGGGCGGCGGTATTCATTTAACATTAGGTGAACCGCCTGCTCGCTTGACAACTTTTCTCATCCATACTAATATTATAAATGCGAAAGTAACTCTGTCTTTCTGTCTCGCTTTCACTCAAAAACTACTGAACCGATTTAAATGAAATTTGGTACACAGATATTCTAGAGCCTAAGAAAGGACATAGCCTATGTTTTAATTGGAAAAATGTTGTAACGGGTTGTAAGATATTTATTTAAGGACTAAAACGCGAGCGAAGCCGCGGGCGAAAAACTAGTAAAAAATATAAACATCCGAATTGATAACCTCCTTATTTTTGAATTCGGTTAAAATAGCGTTTTGTCACATTTCTCTCGTCAATGTAGCTTTGAAATAGGTTACATCGTTTTCCCCCTTTATATAGTATAAATTTTTGTGCACTTCCTGAAATTGTAACTGATATAAGTATTAAATATCATGGGTGTTTTAACAAAAATAACATCAGTTTTATTAAAAGCCTAAAATTTAGGTATTCATTTTTAAGTAAAGCAACTAGTACAAGATTTTACAAAAATGAGATTTAATATACTCACCTAAGTTTGTGACACTAATGATAGGTATAGGTACCCGATTTTAACGGTTTTTTAAAAGCCTGTTATCTTTTACTCATCTAGGTATTCCCTATTTATATTGTGTCAAAAGATAAATAATCATTATTTTGTTTATATTTTATGCGAATTTACATTTGTGAAAAGCTGGGTTTAACAATAACGATTATTAACTGTTGATAAAAATTATCTTTGATATTTACTTTGTAAATGATTTGCACATTTACCTAATTGTTTTATTTTAGCACCATTATGTCACTTGTAAGATCTCGTGTGTTCTTTTTATATCTTAGATTGAACTAAATTTAGGCTTGTAAGACTGAATTTGGTTAACGTCTCATTTTAACCTTTATCATATTGTGGTAAACCGTATCTAGAAATACCTAGTAAAGTTGCATTACATAGGACGGTTAAATAATTTAACCTTTTTTCTTTGGAGGAAAACTACCAACATGAAGAGCATAAGCCTTATCCGATAGTCCTCTAGAAATAAGTCAACTCTTTTAACTCGATCCCGTATATGTTCTTTTCATATACGATTTTTTTTTTCATTTAAGTAATTTAACAAAACATAAGTTTTGGAAAAATTTCTTTTATTTCAATTAGTGAGACTGCACGTTAATAAGCACGTTTACATGTCCAAATCCTATGGGTGAGTTATTATTATTTTTTGTTCCGTTGTGGATGTCAATGAAATTGAATATCAGGTGGGTGCTGGAAACGACCTTAATTTTTTAATAAATAGTTATTTGCAATGCCTATACCAAGTGTGTTTAAAGTATATTTCCGTAAAATGGTGATATTTTTTTGTAAAACATCTAATTTATCGATCGAAATCGATGTTTTGAGAACAGTTCATAAATCATTTCCCCTTAGTCTACAAATTTTTATGTTGACTTTGAAATTAAACTATTGTTGGTATGTGTTTCGTTTTATTTTTTTTTTAAATATTTGCCTATAAAGTATGTGTGATAATGCCATCTATTGATAAATAAGTTGTTTAAATTTAAGAGCGAAGTAGGCTGAAGTTTTGTTATTCTTCAAAATAAGTAAGTACAATCTACAATCGGACATTGATGCGTGTAATCTTTACTTATTACCTGATATTTTTTCTCACCAAGATCTCTTATTACTTTCTTAAGTTAGAAGTTAAAGTTCGTCCTCCCAAAGGAAAATCGAGATATCTTCTGCAACGTAATTTTGATGGAATGGACAAAGAACGCCTAATTAAAGATGCTCGTCTTTTGGAGTTGTCTGCTATTGCAATGGCTACCATGGTGGACATGACAGTAAAATTGTTAAACTCTTATGCAAATTTACGACATTCATGCTCCGGTTAAATCTGTCAAAATTAAACTCTTACCTGCGCCTTGGCTAAGCCATCCTAAAAAAACTAGGAAAAAAGGTTACGCAAAAAGTAAGCTTAGTCTTCAAATCTGACAAAAATCTACGAAATAATAATAAAGTACGGTATCGTTTCAATATGACACAAGCATTCTGAAAATGATTGCTGACAGACCTGACTGTCCGTTCCAGCAACATCGGCTGACAGTTGCTATAGCAACTGAGAAAATAATAATTAGCAATTTGATAATGTTTACTAATAATACTAACCTAGATTTAAGTCACACTGTTACTTACAAATACTAAGAAACTATGGATAATGTAAGTACATTATCTTATTATTTTGTGTATTTCTGAAATAAAGATTATCATTAGTACATTATGTAGAGACACACAACGACGCCACATTCACAAATCTGTCGAAAACGGCGACACTGCCAAAGTTTGGAAATTTCTAAAATCTGGGAGTTGTAATTATTAGGTCCTTACATATAAAGATTACCGTTTTGTACTGACCACTTTGATCTGAAATATCTCCTCTTTGGTTAAGAACTCCAAATTCAAATTTATAAATTCATTTAGCTGGTACATTTCAGTTTGTAATTTCAGTCATTCATTTGTTTCGCACAATGGAAAACATGAAATATCGGTATATTTAAGAGGGACGAGTTCTACCATGGTACCAATGCTGCAGAAACAGCTCGAAGGATTAATGATGTGCACGGCGCTGTTGTCGCAAAAGAAAGCACGGTACGTTTTTGGTTTCAACGTTTTCGTTCTGGAAATTTCGACCTCCAGAACCAACCCCATGGAAGGCCGGAGACCAAAGTGGAAAATGAAAATATAAAGGCTATTGTGGAAGCGCATCCATCACAAAGCACTTCAGAGATAGCTGCAGGATTCGGGGTAAGTGATAAAACTGTATTAATCGGGAATTATAAATCGGGAAAGTTAAAAATCTTGAACGATGGGTACCTCACGAATTAAGTGAATCGAACTTGCAAACACGCGTCGACTGCTGTGTTATTTTGCTCAACCGACACAATAATGAAGGGATTTTAAATCGAATTATTACTTGTGATGAAAAGTGGATATTGTACGATAATCGGAAGCCCTTGTCGCAATGGCTGAACCCTGGAGCCACCCAGCAAAATCCTGCCCTAAAATAAAATTGACTCAGAAGAAGCAGCTTTCTAAAATCTGGCCAAACGATTATTAACGATCTATTGTCAGCAACTGCAAACCATGAAGGAAGAACTAACTGCTAAACAACCGAGATTGGTCCATCGCTCTAGGTCACTGCTACTTCACGATAACGCAAGACCACACACTGCACAACAAACGACCACTTAATTAGATGAGCTACAATTGGAATATCTGCGACATCCATCGTACTGCCCGGACCTTGCTCCAACAGATTACCATATCTTACGGAATTTGGCTAACTTCTTACAAGGAAAAAAATTCAACTCCGATGCGGTGGTCCAAACCGCATTCAAAGAGTTTATATATTCTCACCCCCATGGTTTTTTGGTATTCTGACGTTCGCGTAATGCAATTAAAATAAAGTTTAAACGATAGCTAGAATGCTTGGCGCATACATTGTTATATCCTTTCAGCATACAATTTAGAATATCGTTTTACAACGATAATTCGAACGAGATGTCGGTATTGCTATTTTTAGAATTTTTTTTTTCATAGTGCTAATGTCTGCACTTAAGATTAAACATTAAAATTTAATAAACGAACGAAAAGTTTTTCGCCGCTGTGGGAATCGAAAATTGCTTCAAATGCTAACACAATGTCAATAAAGGACGTTGAGAATTTCGCCGGTGTGGCAATCAGCCGTTAAGCTTAGTGGCTAGAGCGTCAGAGCGCGAAGCCCGAAGACGTGGGCTCGATTCCCACAGCGGCGATAAACTTTGTTCCTTTTTTCTACAAATTTTAATTTTTAATCTTAAGTGTAGAGATGAGCATAAACATGTATATAAATAATTTAAATTTCTAAAACCCCATGTTTCACTTGGTTGCATATCGGTAGCGCCATGGGAAGTATGTGAACCACTTCCGCGACTGTGCCAGCGTTGGCTACTACAGGAACAATTCCACAGGCAACAACCCTCTCCTCCAGGTAAAGCAGATTCAAGAATTCAGCGCGCCTTCTTGGTAACTTTGATTAGATGCCATGGGAGCCAGTGCTAAGTCAGCTCAGCACTTTCCTTAACAGTAACTCCATTTTAAAACCTTTACAATCTGGGTTTCGACCTGGCCACAGTACGGTAACAGCCTTGGTCAACATCACAGAGGATATAAGAACAGGAATGGAAAACGGCAAGTTAACGGTCCTTGCCTTGCTCGATTTCAGTAACGCCTTTAATACGGTTGACTTTGAGGTTTTGGATGGAATACTCAGGTGTCTTAACATATCTCCAACAGCAATTGATTGGTTTCGTAGTTACCTGTATGGACGTCGGCAGCGTATATGCATTGAAGATTCTTCTTCGTGGTGCACACTGCTGGTGTTCCGCAGGATGGCGTTCTATCTCTTTTACTTTTCTCAGTTTTTATAAACTCGATATCAAATAATCTTACTTTATCCTACCACCTGTATGCAGATGATCTTCAAATCTACTCTCAAGCTTGCACTGAAGACTTACATGTGGCTATAAAATGTATAAATGACGACCTGTTAAAAATTTCTGCATGGAGCAATGCACATGGTCTTAAGTTGAATCCGCTGAAGACACAACTTACAGTCATCGGTTCGTCTAGAATGCTGAGTAAGACGAATTTGCAACTAATTCCAAAAGTTAACTTTGACGGAAATTTTATCCCTATTAGTCAAACTGTTAAGAACCTGGGAATCCAGTTTGATAAAAATTTATCCTGGGGACCCCAGCTACAAGAGGTTAGCTGCAAAGTATTTGCCTCTGCAGTATCCTTGAGATTACGTAATTTCTTACCAACAGCCACCAAAGTAGCTCTTGCTCAAAGTCTACTTCTCCCCATTCTCGACTATGCCGACGTCAGCTATCTGGATTTAACTGAGGAGCAACTTGATAAGCTTGAACGTATCCAAAATCTCTGTATAAGATTCATATTTGGCTTACGTAAATATGATCATGTTTCACATTTCCGTTCTAAGCTCAAGTGGTTACCCATTCGACTTCGCCGGAATGCTCATATACTCTCCCTTCTTTACAACGTTGTGTTTAATCCTTCGTATCCCTTTTATTTAAAGAAACGTTTCGAGTTTTTACACGAATCCCATCCACATCTTCTGAGATCATCAGAGAATTTGAAATTAAAAATACCTGCTCACAAAACAAAATTTATGGCTAAGTCCTTTATGGTTCAAGGTGCGAAATTATGGAATGCCCTACCTCTGGAGGTGAGACATGCTCAGTCACTTTCCACTTTTAAAAACCTTGTCAAGAGTCACTTTTTGTCACTTTAAATCTGGTTTAGATACAAAATGTATTAACTATGTTTATATATATATGTTATATATAAATATATATTTATTTATTTTGTTATTTATGTACTCATTTATCTATTCATTTTTACAACAAAGAATGTATTTACCTTATAAAATTTATAGAATTTTACCCACACCCCTAAAATATTCTTTTCATATTATGTCCATCCAAAGGTTGCCTGGAAGAAATTGCTTTAAGTAATAAGGCCGCCCATTGTACAACCCTTACATAATTGTTATTTTTAATGTATTCTTTTTACCATGGTGTGTGCAATAAAGAATATTCATTCATTCAAAGTTTTACTGTATTTATTTATAATTTAATTCTTTGTTTTACATTACATATTTTAGATTATTTACATATTTAATCTAATAGTGTTTTGTTTAAATATTGAATGAAATATCTTCCAATTTTATTCGCATTTTCATTAGAATGGTTCATCTTGGCATATGTTAAGAACTGTCTTCTAAGTATCAAAAGCTTCTGAGGGTTGATATTGTCAACAAATCCAGTTTCTAAGTTGCATCCTGAGTAGTCTGGGAATTTCACTTCATCTAGGTTAAGTTGCTTTGCATCTAATATCTGCTTAGATATAGATTGTGTTACTTTGTCTAATTCATATAGGAAATTAGTAGAACTCAGCGGTGGCTGAAATTAACAAGTAACAAAATAATATAAGGAAAAAATGAAAAACTTCTAGTTTCATAAGTTACTGAAATTATGTTCTTACATTTTGAGTGCTCATGTTAGGTGGAGGTGGTTTCTTCTCAAAAAGGACACTATAAATTGCATCTAAATCTAAAGTGTCAGTAGTTTGCACAGTAAAAAGAGGACTGTCCCATCTGTGGTTACAATTTGGCTCTTCAAATCTGGAATATTTGTATTTATGAATATTCCAATTACAAAGTTATATGCTCAATGATCTATGTATATTAGGTCCATGTTAAAAAGAAATTGTCTAAATTATTTATAATGAAACTGAAGGGATTCATCATTATTTTTCTTTCTAGAGTATTTGTTATGTGGAGTGAAAAAAGAAAATAAAAAAATTTCACTAAACAGTAATTTTTAACAAATATTCATTTCATTAGGGAATTAAATTATTCTAAATACATAGTCTATAAAATTGCTTGAGGTTCTTTTCTATGCCCATATTTTTAAGTATTGTATGCATGGGAATCTGAATATGGTGAAATCCTGTCCATAAAATAAAAAATAAAAAATTCTATTTAGTTACAATCGCTTGTTGACCAATATAAAATTCATCTTTCATTTTTCTTTTCCTTATTTATCAATATGGATTCTGCTGAGAACACTTACTATAAATATTTACTGAAATCTAAATTATGAAGATAATTTATCAATAGAGAATGGCAGTTGCCGTGTGTATAATCAAAATCAAATTAAATCAGTGTGTATAAAATATCAAAGAGGGTTTTATGGTAAATCAACTACATTGAACTAAATGCAAGTATACTGTTATAACAAATGATTTTATAGATGGCTATAAGTTTCAAAACCAAATAAATATCTGTTTACTTAACATATTTGTTAATATAAAAATAACTGATTAAATTAATTTACAGATTTTATTGTGTTTATTTAAATGTGTAAACACTTGGCATTTTGAATGCTTACAGCATTCATGGTCATGTTAAAATGTATGATGAATGTTTATGTATACATTTAATTTTAATAGAAAAAATTAAAACCATACAATATATATTTTGAATTTATTACCTAATTATTATGATTCTACAAAATATTAAAAACTTACCTTAATTTACTTAGGGCATTAAATACCTCCTCAGTGTATGGAATAGGTTGTTTGCTCTTTGATTCGCTATAATTGTTTGTTATTTTATTGGCATTCATCTCATTTAACCATATCTCATTATCTTTCCACGCTTCATCATGGTTTCGAATAGTGTAAATTGTACATTGTGTCGATTTACAAGCTTTTGATGCACAATATAGTTCATAACGGTACCCTAAAATAAAATGTGTAAAAAGTTATATTATATGATATTTTACTAAAATTTAATCTAGTATAAACAATCATATACTTAAATAAATAGCCATTGCAAAAAATTATATTATGGCTATGTAAATTCATTACCTTTAATATAATTGCTTCCATCTAGAATTACTACATTATCTTTTCCAATTAATCTAATTACCTCCGATTTTAAATATGCCCTTACTCTTTTCTCTTTTTGGGAATCTAAATATGTAGAATTTTTTTCATATCCTAATTTTGCAATTGATTCTTCTTCTGATATTATATCAACATCCTTTTGATGCTGTTTTTCGAAAAAGTCTTTTAGTTCATATGTTCTTGTAGTTTTACCACTTACTGGTGTACCGCATATTATTATTAAGGGCATTTCGTATTTATTTTACATTTAAAGATAACCTCAAAACAAAAATTCTAAAATTATTAACATATGGTATGGAAATATAAAAATGGAAACATTATTACAATATGATGATTGATGAATGATAATAGCGTCAAAGCAAAGGAAAAGTCACATCAAAAATTTTATTTGTCAGACATATTTGACAGTTAATGACAAGTTTTTGCTACATGCCATTTAGCACATATGCTTAATATTTATTTATTTAATATTTTATAATATTTATTTATTATTTAATTATGAGTATGTTTTTTGGTTAGTTCTTAGCCCAACGGCTTTTATAGCTACGCCGGAAGATTTTCAGGTAGACGCCACGCGGGCACAGGAGAGGAACGTAGCTAATACGACACGTTGTCAAACTTGGCACTGTTCAAGTGTTCAAATTCATATCAAAGAAAGTGACTCGGTGCTGTTAGCCAGCAACTCAAATAATAGTTTCAAAAAGCTAATAGAAGCGCCCTATTTGAAGAGGATGAATTACTTTTTACGTTCTAGGTCGTCTGGAACCCAGTGTGTCTCCGAGCTTCATTAAAATGCCAACATTTAGATTTTAAGACAAATCGCCAGCCTCTTAATACTAATAATATTTTTATTATTTATTACCTTGAATTTTTATTATTGAAGTGTTTATATATTTATTTAAAAGGACACCAGCAGTACATACATACCTGATGCATGTACCTTATTAGGTGACAACATTGTTACAGGTAAATACAAGAATGAGCAAGAGTAATATAAAAATATAAAAAATATTTTACAGCAAATAATTTCAGTGAAGTTAAGAAATAAAAACCTAAAATATGATTACAAAAATACAAAATGGATACAATAATCATAATTAATAACGAATTATATGGTAGATAATTAAAACATTAACGGAAGTGATTCAACATTATTTTCTTGAATTTATTAAAACTTAAATGGAATCCTTACTTCCTTACTAATACTATAAACGCGAAAGCTTGTATGTATGGATGGATGTTTGTTACTCTTTCACGCAAAAACTACTGAATAGATTTTAACTTTACAATAATATACTTTATACATCAGAATAACACATAGGCTATAATTTATAAAGATATTGTGTCATTTGTCCAAAATATAAGTAAAAGTGTCCACTAAGTAGGAAAAAAATCAGCCATCTGCGAGATATTCTGGTGTAAAATAAAAAACTCATTGTTAATTCCCTAAGGCCGCGCGGGCGAAGCCGCGGCTAACAGCTAGTATATCTTATACTGGGTAGTTCTCCGCAGATAGCGTTGTAGGAATTGCAGAAACGCGTGATAGGAGCAAGCAAACCCAAGTTACTTTTATGAGGTGGTATCTCGAAAAGTTTTGTTTTGGGATAACGGGCAGTAGCTGATTTACAAATTCTGCTGTTCAATTTTTGTCGCCCCTCTTACTGACCTCTGAACTGACTAAGTCAAGAAAAGTTAAACGCTTTATTAACTTTGTTTGGCTTAAAGTCGATTGTAAATAGTTGTTCACACGCTCTAAGCAAGAAAAGCTCTCACCCGAACAATCTGTCGCTGGTGTGCATAGAGCCAAGCGAAGTGCTAAATCCAAGTTTGGATAAATGTTTTCCAAACTCTCTTTTCGCAGGAATAAATAAAGATTTTTAATGATCCTTTTTAATGAAGATGAATCTGGTTTTATCGATTTTTTTCCGAAGAAAGGTGATATTGAAAGTTTATCAAATCCTGAACTAAGCCAGTTTCTAAATTTTCAAATAAAATTGCTTTTTCCGACAGGGTTATTTGTTGTTTGTATATAATTGCTTCTCAATATATTGGTCACGAGTCTATCTATGAGGACGAGAAACGCGTGTTAACCCTGAAAGTTTCACTCGCAGTCATTCTAATACCTTCTTCAGATGTTTCTGAATTGTGTTTTTAATGTCAACAGTCAAATACCTATCGCTAGTAATCAAATCTATCTGTAGATTTTTTTTTGAAAGAAAAAAAAACGGCCCTCACGTTGGGATAACATTATCCTGTGTTGTAAGGGTGTTTTTACAAACATAAATTGTACAGGGACACGTCCAGATGCGAAACATTTATCTGTGGGTCACACAAATAGTTGTCCCGTGTGGAAATCGAACTCACGACCCCCGGCGCCGAAGCCAATACCTTGGCAAGTGTGCCACGGAGTCATCAAAAACGAGTGCACAGATATGTCGTTCTAAACATAAATTTATTAAAACATTTTACACGTTTACAAAAAAAAAATATTGAAAAAATAGCATAGAAAATAATAATACAGTAATCTTCTTATATATAAAAATGGATTGCTGTTCGTTAGTCTCGCTAAAACTCGAGAACGGCTGGATCGATTTGGCTAATTTTGGTTTTGAAATATTTGTGGCAGTCCAGGGAAGGTTTAAACGATGAGAAATTATGGAAAAATTGCAACAATTTTATTTTCCCCATACAAACTGTACCTGTCAACTATGTCTGTGTAACCTGTCAAACACTTTAGGCGTGCGTTCCGATTCCTCTAGAAATAATTTATATGGCAAAACAACGTTTGCCGAGTCAGCTAGTTTTATATATAAAAATGAATTGCTGTTCGTTAGTCTCGCTAAAACTCGAAAACGGTTGGACCGATTTGGTTAATTTTGGTTTTGAAATGTTTGCGGCAGTCCAGGGAGGGTTTAAACGATGGGAAATTATGAAAAAATTGCATGGAAAATCTAAATAGCAACAGCATAGCATTTATATGGAAAAACAACGTTTGCCTAGTGATTAATAAATATAAATATAAATCAAAATTACTTAATTTAAATTGCACAAAGAAGATTTCTCTATGGGTCAAATTTGCCGCCCCCTAAAAGCTGCCGCCCTAGGCTCCATCCTAGTTAGTCTGCTGGTAAATCCACCACTGGTGACGGCTTGATTGTAAGGAACAACTACGGAAAAGTTACTTAGTAGTTCACTGCATGAGGTATGACCATGTATAATTTTATGTAGCATTAATATGTTAAAAAATTTAAGTGGGTGTTTATATAGGCATCGGTTGATATTCCGCTACTGATACAAGCGATATGTCTCGTGAAGGCTCTTTGGATATTTTCAAAAAATAAAACTTCATACTAACACTTGTAGTATGAAGTTTTATTTTTTATAGAAATAGTTATACTTTCATTTAGCTACCATTTAAAGTTGTAGTAAAATAGCAATAAGCGGTAGTAAATTAGGAATAAGCAATCTAGATACACTCATAATTTGTAGTTTATAACTGATTTCTCGTTTGGTCATGACCTTAAAGTCGCCTGGCATATGTGGAAGATATGTGCCAGTTTCTTCAATCGTGCTATGTCACTTTTTGTGCAGTCCACTGGTTGCTTGTTCAAAATTAACTCCTTGAACGCATTACGATTTTAGAAAAATTTTATTCATATTAATTTAGAAAATAATTTTATATTCCTATATAACACATCATTAAAAGTCCTACAATTTATCAATTTTAGGACTATTTAGCACATTGTATAATGATTGTGGCAATCATCCAAAATATAATAATATTGAAACATTTCAATAAATGTATATAAACTTTGATAAGTTTATTCGTTTAGCATCATTGATATTATGTACAAAAACGAATTATATATGACACTAGCGCGCTGAAACTGAAGCATTCGTTCAAGCAATACGTCAATTCAATAAAAGCACTTCTTTTTAGTCCGATTCTATCTATGCTTTCTAAATAGATAGCATAGATAGAATCGGACTGAAATATGGAAATCCGTATCTTAAGTATCTCTCTATATCATTTATCACATACACTTCAGTCATTTAATAATGTAAAGTGGAATAATTTAAAACGCCGCGCAGTATGAGGATGCATCTTTTTATTATATAGGTTTTTCAGGTCATTTTAACAATTTTTCATTTTAAAATAACAATATTTCATTTCTAAATAACAACTAAGAAAAAAACCGTTATATTAAATGCAAACATCTAGAGACAGAATGTAAAAAGACATACTAATTTTTCATCATTAGTGAAGAGTATAAGCATTTTTATTATTACGTTGCCCTCGTGAGATAGTGGCAGCTATTAAACCACCTAGAGAGACAGAGACTGTATAAATACATCAACGAAGACGACGACCTGAAAAACCTATAATATCATTGTTTGGCATGCTCATCGCATAAAACACGTTGTGTACTTATGAAATATAGTAATTTTTATTTGTAAGAGCATTATGTTAAGAATATACGAACATACTTATAACTGAGTTTAAATTAAATAATTAATAAATGAAATAATTATTTCAATTGTAGATATAATAATTTTCTTATGAAATTATATTTCAATATGAATCTTTCGTTTTGACACTTTTGAGTGGTTCGACCTTCGAGTATGCTATAATGTTAGTGTAATTTGATGATTTTTCTACAACGATCTCACATTTCTTAGGGCCAAAGCCGCAGGTTTATACTGTCATTCGATATTGTATATACAGCTTTGGCATTGAAGTGTCCGGCGGAGGTTGCCTAGCGTTTTGATCGATTGCTTGCTCTTAATTTTTGTTTATTTTTTTTAATTGCGAGAGATAAGTGTAATAAGTAATATATTGTGTAGTAAGTAATATATTACGTAGCGATTTGAGAATATATTATAATAAATGAAACACATTTGGATTACTTCGAATAAATTTCGGTCTTTTTTAAAAGTATACTCATACTACGGAAATATGTCCTGTGCCAATAAACAACAATATGAACTGACGGACACAAAAGGCTTGGATCGACTCTTTATAGATTCCATAAACATTAACATGTGTGAGGATTGAACCCTTTTTTTAAATGATATTTGTCCTTTTAGTACTAAAACTATACAACGCTTCTGGCACAAAGCCGACTGTGTTATTCGACCGCGTTGGCAAGCAGAGGCCAGAACAGCCCCGGGACGCGGGTGCACCTCATGTACTATTGTGTTGTAAGTTACCAGTATGTTTGTGTGTGT